TAAAATTAGTGCTTTCATGTGGTACTAACAGAGTAGATAAACTGATAAATCAAGGAGTGGGCAATGGGGTTTTAGACTAAGGGAATATTGTAAGAAAAAAGAATGACAGGACCAGTTACTAGTAAGGAGATTGAAACAGTAATCAAAAACCTCCCAATGACTAACTTGAATTTAAATAGCTATGCTTTGTCTTTTGTGCCTTGGAAGCATGTCTAAGTTAGCACTTCAGAATAGCAGCCCTGTACATGTAGCAAGAGACCACCCCCCACAGCTCCTTAACTCCACCCTACCTGGGAAGACACAGCTCAAACGTGACATCCTAGGCCTGTTGAACTGGCAGGAAGCCAGCGTTGTTGTGACACAGGACGAGCACTCCCCCGGGAACCACAGGAGCTGTCTCCAGACTCAGTCTCCTGCTAACTAGCCAAGGACTATGAAGACTAACCCCCATGACTACGGAAAATGGACATTATATTGAGTATACACAGGCAGCATGCTGAGCAAGAAGGGGCACAGAACCATCCAAGCCCTGACTGTTGTAGATCCTGGCCTGCAGGATCTACACGCAGACTACAGAAGTCCTGTGGAGAAAAAGGAATGGCGTGGCGACTCTCTGAGACAGTGAGGGCAAGAGGGCCCCAGCCCCTGCCTGAACAGGCTTTTATTGCTTCTCTGGGTACATTGCATGGAGGACAGTCCTCATTTACTAAGCAGAGGTTCCTGCAGGTGATTACCTTTTACAGATAACAAAGGAAAGAATGTTGCTAATTACTTCAAAGAGAAGGATGTTACAGATCAGAGGGGAAAATGGTTGAACTGGTTATAGTCCATACTTGGGAGGATTAGCACAGACTTTAGGAAGTTACAGTAAGCACTTTCTGCCTCAATTCAGGGTAAGAGGGTTTTAGCCAAAGCAAGTCTCATAGCAGTCTAGGTACAATGCAGGCCTGATTCCCCATGGGAAAACCTCTCTGTGGCTGTGGTCCTGCATGCCACTCGATCCCCACTGGTTTTCAACATAGAGGCTGAGCTACATTTCCACGTCACGAGAAACACTTCCCTAAACACGACTCTTACCAGTTGAGAGGAGATCTGGAACCAGATCCTTAAAGGTGCCTTCCTCTCACATTTAATGCATCTGTGCACCATGTCCATAGCAAACAGCCAATCATTACACTTCTAGGAGACTCGAGATCCTTTGAAAGTCTTCTCATCACACCAAAGTATTGAATCCTTTACGGCTGCAATCATCCAACGAATGGGCTTGTCCACAGTTTTCCATCGTACCCAGTTTCAGGAGTTCCCCTTGGTGCTCAGTATCTGGGAGTTCAGTTAGGGCCCTTCATCAAATGCTGTCACAATGCACGTTTGGGTTGCACGTAAAGTGGCTCTCACTTCACACCAATCTGCAGCCCTTCATAGGAAGCACTTTCTTTTGAGGATGTCTGGTAAAACTCTCCTTTGATGGGGAAACTCCTTCTCACTATTACGGAAAATTCCTTTGACACCTCTCTGTGTTCCCAGCCCATGTGGCCAGCTGATTGCTATACAATGGTCCTTCATTCAGGGTTACATATGCTTCATTCTTCAGGTCAGTGGTTGTCTGTCTCAAACCTCACTGATCTATCCTGTGCCTAAGGACCCTCCCCTGTAATTCAGAACCAGTCTCCTCACTGAGGGATGTGTGGAAATAGAAGTGAGGACGGGATAGTTCTTTATGTTTGTTCTTTCACAGGCAACTGACCACAGCCTGTGAATCAAAGGGGACATTTGTTTTTCTTCTCCTGCCCAGCTTCTCACCTTCAGCCCATGCCTTGTGAAGCAACGACCCTCTTTCTATCTGGTACTGTTAACCCTTGGCTGAAAAAGGAAATTTTCCTACATGGTTGATGTTCTGAAGGTAAATCTGAAGTTTTTGCCTGACAGGAACAAATAAAAAGACAAATTGTAGGTGCTGCGGTTATCACAGTGAGGGCTCCTATCTTGCCATCAGCTGTCCTGTCCCCAAATGTGTGAACTGCCTGAAAGACCAAGGTAATTGAAACTCATGCACATACCTCTGGTCTCTCACATATTAACAGAAATTGCCTCCTACTGTGGTTGCTTTCTGGCTCAGTGCTCAGAATGAGAAACAGATCATTGCTTTCCTAACACGAGTAGAGAATACACTTCAACTAGTTCATCAAGGAGGAAAAATCACAGCGGACTGGTACATAATAGGCCCGTGGGAGCTCAGTTCTGCTAATCCCACACAACAATGACCCAATCTCTCTCTCTCTTCTCATTTTTCTTCTCTTGCCTCACCTCTCCTCCTCTCTCGCTTCTACTTCACAGAGAGAGAGAGAGAGAGACAGAGAGAGAGAGAGAGAGTAGTAGAACACGTACTTCATCTTATACCCAAAGTATCTTAGTTTATTTTCAAGTTTATGATGACCACCTCCACTAGCTGTTACATTTGTCTTACATATAATCCAAATGCTTACGGTGGGTTACTGGGTGTATGAGTTTGTGATTGTAAGAAATTTTGGTAGGCATAGAAAGTATAGAACCAATAACAAATTGTGGGGTTCAAATTTCTTTATTAATATACATTTTTATCTTAACCAAAAGCAAAAGTGATTGACGATTTTATGTGTAGATGCCCAATGAGCTGCTGCAGGGGATGCTGGGTAAGCCAGCTGCCCAGTGGAGAGGGAGGCCTCACCCCAATGAGCCACTTAGTCCAGCTGGTCCCTGGGTAGAGTTCCAGGGGCCACCTGTCAGATATTCCTGCCTGCTACACTGCAACCTCTCACACCCCACCTGAACACAAAGAACCTCCTCTGTTTCAAGGGCATTACAGGTGCCTTGGACTGGGGAGGGTGGAGAGCAAGGTTTTGCACTGACCTGTCGGGATGGGGCTCACTAGGTCTCAGGGGAATGACAGCAGCACTTCTGTTAGCCTGTCATCAGGAAATATGTGCCATGTCACAGGAAGACATTGGCCAACGCAGTTAGAAGAACTTCTGAAGCAGTTTCTGTGCCCAGGTGACTTACAGGGTCCACTTGGATTGTGAGTGATGATCTGTGGGGTGTGGCTTGGCTTCCCTGTCTGTTGGAAGCTAGTGATGGTTAATGTACCAGCCAATCCTCTCTTCTCCCTCTGTCCCTCCCCTCACCAAGGTCCAGATGACTTCAGTCTGAGCACTTTCTGCCTTCTCCCCCAAGGCACTGCCCCGTCCTCACCAGGTGGCCCCCACCTGGCCTGAGGCAAAGGGAAGTGCAGCAGGGAAAGTCTCCTACTCCCTCAGTTCTCTCTGCAATCCATTTTCATGGTGGAAATAGTCTTCAGTTTTCTCAAAGCCCTCTCTTTAGCCATTTAAGACCTTATTTTGGAAGTCTCAAACACCTTTAAAGATTTAACATTGAAAGTCACTTTCTCTTCGCAGATCCACTGCAACAAACCCAATTCTCTTATACACAGTTGTGAGTATCTCTGTTTAACCAGAGGAAAGGTCAAGTAGAAGAATGTCCAAAAGAGAACAACAACAAAAAAGCATGAAATGACGCATTTCAAGGCAGCCTCTCCCTACAACCTCACCGCTCCCCTCCTCCTCCAACAGCTGGTCGTTAACCCCTTCCTTCTCCTTCACTGTCTCTGTGAAACTTCTTTCTCAAACTTGAGCTGTCAAATCTGCCGGGGGGGGGGGGGAGTTCCTAGGCCTCCTTTTCCTGCAGCCTTTCATAATGCCGACCGTGTCCTCACTGTCCTTCACTGTCCTCTGCCTTGGTTAGGAAGGGCGTGGCAGTGTGAAAGCAGGAGACACCTACCTCCAGACTAGCTTCAGACTGAGAAGAGCCTGAGCTATCTCCTCCTACATAAACTACCAGTTCAACTCTGTTTTGAGATCTGCATCTGGACTGGCATTTTCAAATCTATCCCCTCACCCAGGGTATAAGTCAGCTCCGTAATAAACTCCAAAAAATGTCATCGGCCTCAATTAAACATTTCTGAATATTATTGTTTTCAATCAATTTGACCCTACCTCCTTGTAACTTCCACACATTATCTCTGAGATGGCACTTGAGGGACAATTTGGTATGTAAAGCTTGAGCTGGGTGAGACCTGGGTACAGCCATCATGGAAAACGGTATGGAGTTTCCCCCCAAAAACCATAAATTAAACTATCATATGACCCAGCAGTCCCCCATCTGTGGGGTTCTACCCAAAGAAATTGAAATCAGAATCTCAGAGAGGTATCTACCCTCCCATGACCATTGCCGGGTCATTCACAACAGCCAAGATATGGGAACACCCCAAGGGTATAAACGGATGAAGGGAGTGTGGTACAGATGTACGCTGAAACGCCATGAAGCCCTTATAAAAAGGAGACAACCCTGCCACTTGTGACAATATAGGTAGACTAGGAGGACGTTGTGCTAAATGAAATAATCTAGACCAAAAAATGACGTACTGTGTGATCTCACTTATATGTGGAATCTAAAATAGTCAAGCTCACGGAAGCAGAAATGAGAATGGTGGTTGCCAGAAGCTAAGAAGAGGCAGCAATGGGGAGATGATGGTCAAGGGTGCTGACTGTCAGTGACGTAAGGTGAGTAAGTTCTGGAGACCCCCCTACAGCACAGCTGCAGCCATGGGCAAGCCATAGGGCCTCTGGCTGGCAAAACTGTCATGGATGCTTAGGCTTTTCTAAGAACAAAGAAAGATCTTACACTGTATTCTAATAATAATAATAATAATAATAATAATAATAATAATGGGAGTGGGAGGAAACTTTGGGAAATGATGGATATATTTTTTGCCTTGATGGGAGTATACTTATCCTCAAACTCATCAAGTTGCAGTATATAGTACATATGCACAGCTTTTTAATGTCAATCATACTCAATAAAGTAGTTTAAAAAGTAAAAATATATTTTAAAAGAGCACATTAACCACTCTTCATGGAAAGATTCTTTAAAATTACACATAATACAAATCAAAACACTGCAAAGGATAGTATCTTTAATGAGTATTTTAATCATTGTCATTTTAACTAAAGCTTTGCAGAAATGTATTTATCAGTATCAGAAAAATACAGAGATATTGTTTGTATATGAAAGCATATTTTGTTAAGCCCTCTCATTTCATCTCCCACAGCTGTTTTCCTTTTTGCTTTGATGAAGAATAAATAAGGAGTAAACTGGAGGCCAATGCTTCAAGTCTATTTACCTCCACAGGCCCTGAAACATCCAGAGCGAACCCACATGGCTGAAAAACGTTCTCTCTAATGGGCAATCGCACCTGGCTCAGCCGGGAACAGGCGCTTCCTACGGAAGAAAAGGGGGCGGCAGGGCAAACTGGAGGTCTCGGCTGTGACCTGCACTAAAAATGGCCCCCAAACAAGACTGAATTATGTGAGTTGTCAGACAAAGGGGCAGAAGGCGCCCCTAACTAGGACATGACTAATTCAGCTCTGCGAGTCGGTGTTTCCGTCTCCCCACAGGACTGGGGAACCCCACCCAAGGTGCTGGAGCCGACCGGGTGGCGCCCGTGTTCTTCCCGGGATGGAGTCATTGCAACTGTCTTTCTGCATTCAAGGTCCCCTCTGTATTCGGGTTTACTGAGCGGGCCGCCTCTCTAATGTTTCTGTTTTCTGGCTGCTGGGCATAACCGCCCAGACTTAAAGGCAGCATTTGAGTTTCTCTGGCCTAACTCTCTAATTTTCCGACTAAAAAAATCCAAATCCAGAGAAGTTAGCAGTTTCTCCAAGAACGTCGTTAACTCAGACAAAGGTTCATGAAAACTCTTCAGCCTAATTTTTTTTTTTTAAGGACAAAGAGTAAGGAAAAAGGTTTGGCTTCTGCGGGCAGCTGGGAGCTCAGGGTGCAAGGGCCCTGGAGGGAAGCAGAAAGCATGGGCCTCCGGCTGGGGGCGTTGCAGTGCTCAGTTATGGGACGTGCCCACGGGATGTGCACAGCCACTGCTGGATTCTGAGCGAGCCCCCCCCACCACCACCACAGCCCGGAGCCTACTGGGCTCCCCCCTCACAAGGCTCTATGCTAGTGACCGTGACATTCTGTCCTTGACACCTCAGGACTCCAGCCTCACACTCCGTCATCGTCCTTGCCTCGCCGTTCACCAGCACGCAGATGCTGATGCCTTGCTCCTCGCACTCCGAGGCCTCTCTGCAGATGCACTCGCTCTTCTGGTCTGCAAAGAGAAGCGAGAGGGGCTCACTGGCACATGGTGCAGGTGGGCGAATGAAGGGCCTTTGCCTCCAAAGTCAGGACACGGTGGTTAACGGCCCATAGGAGCTCCAGCCTCCGGGCATGGAACCCACCACCCCCTGGACATGCAGGAGGACTGGGGAAGCCAGCCATTCAGCTCCACTCAGAGTGAGCAGGTTTGGAAGCTGGCGCCAGGATTGCGATTATTGTTTGGGCCACAGGAGACGGTTCTCCCAAGTCGAGCGGGGGTCCAGCTCACTCCTCATCCAGGCTGCTGTCCCTGTGACTCAGAACCCAAGTGGGATCCGCCAACCACCCCATCACCAACTGAGGACACCTCGGCAAAGAGCAGAGCGGCGAGGGTCAAAGAGAGACAAAGGACCAAACACCCAAACTTGGTTTGAGGGAAAGGGCATGAAGCACCAAAGGCTGCATGTCCCACAAAAATAAATAAATACATAAATAAACAAAACAGAAATAAGCTGTGCAGGATAGCACTGTGTGCACTGAAGTTTCAAGGCCAGGTGTCTCCAGAAAAAAAGTGACAAGGTCAGCGAGCCAGCTGTGGTGACTGCCAGACCCTAAGGGACTGTAGCTGAAGTTACAGGTGTCGTCATCTGTGCTGGAGACAGATGGGGAAACTGAGGGCAGTGACCCAGCCCTCCCCCCGTGGGGGTATAGCTGACACCAAGGGAGGTGGGTCATGTCTGCAGTGGCGGTGAAGGTCATTGTGAGTGCTCTTGGACACAGCACCAGAAATACGGAATGACAACTCAAGAAAGTAACTCATCTTCCTGTTCTCCCCAAACCCTCGGGCCCCTCTGGCTCAGCACTGCAGGTTTGTAATACCTGCCCGGCCCCACACTCCCCGTAACCCAAGGAAACAGCCACCCTCGAGCTCCCAGCAGCATCTGGCTGGAGGCTACGCCCTCATTTTGTTTCAGTTCAAGTATTTAGATAGCTCCTTAATATTTATAGCAAGTGAGACTTCCTTTTAAGAAAATGAGATCATTTTTTTAAAAAAGTTATTATGAGTCTATTTTTTATGAAGTTGAGATTTTTACTGACATGCAGATGTGCCTTAGAGTTATGTTTATCCAAATGGGTTCTATGAACAATAGAACACTTTAGCATGAAGTCACGAGATGTTAAAAATAGTGCAGCACAATAAATACAGCTATGTCTGCCACAGCCCCAACTGCAGAGAGGGGGGAAGGCAGCTACCAGGTCTGGAGGGACCGTGCTTTCAGACGGCCTTCACAGGTGACCAGAAGCCCAGCGCACCACCCAGGAAGAGGGTGTGGGGCCAGCCTGTGCCACAGAGACAGTTGCACTGGACACCAAGTCCTGCTCCCCCCCCCCCCCGCTTTGCCTCTTCCTGGGCCTCCCTGCCTGGGGGCTAGAGCTTCAGTCCACGCCACCCACTCAGTCCTCACTGACCACCCCTCATCAGTGGACTGGGTGGATGGCAGGCCTCTGTCTTTGTGCAGAACCCACAGACACACATGCTGCGTGGTTTCTGTCTGGATCAAGCTTGTCTATGGCCAGCAATGACCTCAAGGTCAGCGTCCTGCATCCACGTCTCCTATTCTCAAAGGACTGTCTGGCAACCTCTAGAATGAGCCAGAGACTCAGCATAGGAGGGCATATTTTCTTCCCGAAGTGGCCCATGAGAGGAGTGACCAGGGGCCTGAAAGGCCATGATATTTTTGAAAGCACCTGGACTCAGCAAGTTCTGGGAAGGAGAGACTGGTGGCCTTGCTAGCCACTTGTCACAGATGTAGCTTGATTGGTCTGAATTCTCCATCGGTGTCAATGGCCTCATGTGATACTGGAGAGGGTGCTGTGGCTCTTGTGCCTAAGTGGGCCCTGGGGCTGGTGACACCACATTGAGAAGCCGTTCGCAGAGGGGCCTGTGTGCTCCGAGCGGGGTGTTAGCATTATGGCTGTGGCCCCAGCCCCATCCCTGAAGGTACTACACTTGATACGGCGTCCAGAGCTTGGGAGTAGCCTGTACCATGGATCCCAGCAGCTGATCCAATTCTTGCTCAAAGTAGAGAGAGAACTGGCCAAATTCAAGTCAGCACTCAGCCCCTGACACAGACATGCCCCCGGGGGATGGGCAAGGCTCTCTGCCGGCCCAGCAGCATGAGGACTCAGTGGGACTTGCAAAGTTGCAGGTAGAACTCCCTGGCACAAGTAGTTCAGGGCCGAGCCCTTGCCACAGGGCTGGCTGGTTGCAGTGTTGGGTACAGCACCCCTGGTCAGCACTCTGCACAGGTGTATGCTGCATGGGGACCGGGGGGAGGGGGAAGGGCTACTCTGACCCAGCTTTTCCCTCCTGGAAAAGCCGAAACTCCAAGTACACAATATGGATGATACAAGGACAGAGCAATATCATGAAGGCAGAATGGGACTCACTGAGGTACGGGAGGACCTTCAGACCAGCAGGGATAGGTTTTTGGCCTCTGGGCGCTTCACCACCCTGCCTCCCAGTTCACTCTCAGACCAGTTTGAACCTCTGACACTCTCAGGGGTCTGTGCTGAACTAGAGAAGGATATTTCTCTAACCCGCAGCACTGTTGCTTTAGCAGTTTTACAGTTTCAGACGAAAAATTCCCTTTTCTTGCTTTGGCAGCACAAATACTAACATTGGAATGATGGAGAGATTAGGGTGGCCCCTGAGAAACGATGACGTGCAAATTTGGGACACCTTCCATATATTTTTTTAAATGAAGGAAAAGAAATGCCCCTCACCGTCACATTTTTCCCACAGCGGACAGGCGCCACACGCTTTCCTGGCTGGGGCAGGCAGGACACAGCTGTCGGCACCCAGCAGCGTGAACCGCAGGCCCTGGCAGCGCACAGCATGCAGCTTGCACACGGTCAGGGGCAGCGTCCTTCCCCTTCTCTCGTCCCGAGCGCACACCCCCAGGGAGGACCTGGAACGAATTTTTTTTATTATGTTGTTTACAAGATGATCATTCCTTAAAAGCTGAGGGTGAGAAGCGACAGGTGAAGCTCTGTGGCAAAAAGGTGGAGCAGACACTCACATCCCTTCATTATAAAGGCCCAACCCCCATCAGGAGGTCCCACCTTTGGGTGTCTCGGCCACACTGGAAGAAGAAGAGTTGTCTTGGGCCAAACATTAAATGTATTGTGACACATAATCACAAAATAATCTCATGATGTTTTAAGTAAATTTACAGTTTTGTGTTGGGCCGCATTCTCAGCCATCCTGAGGGACTAGCAACCCCACAGGCTGTGAGTTGGACATCCTTCTAAAAGAATGTTTTTTGCTCTTTATTTGCTCCTGAAGTTTAGAGAGCTGAGACAGCTAGTGTCAACCTGGTTTCATCTAGAACAGATCCGATACAGCAAATGGAAAGAGAAGGCAAGATGTGCTAGGACAGCTGGGAGGCTGATGACAGGAGAGGGACCCAAAGTACCCAGAGATCCAACACTCAGAAGCTACGGTTAGATGAGGCCACCAACCACAGGACACGTGGGCCCTCCCAGCCCAGCGGTCGGTGACCAAATCCTCAAGGGAGGATGAAACTATGTTTCAATGCTATGTTTTAACATCTGCATTTACAAAATACTCGAAAAATATTTCCATAAAAAATGATTCCTTTTTTTTAAGCATTGGTGCCAAAATGATGAGATCCAGCTTTTTAGAAATGTCACTGATGAAAACAACTGCATTTCTGAATGTGAATGGATTAGGGAACCATTACTGCGGTGCAAGCTTAGACAACGAAGCACTTTTGTAGAGCAGACAATATCTATCTTTACTTGTACATATACTTAGCTCTAATTTTCTCTTCTCTGACCAAGTGCTATGTTTAGCTGGAGTTATTTACACAATGAAAACAAATCTTCATCTCTCTCCTCTCTCAGCTTATTTAAATTTAAATAGAACTGCTCAAAACAGCTTAAAAGTCAGAGACTTTGCAAGGCCCCATGGTCAACAGGATCTTATATGTAAACTCACACACACTGCATCTGTAAACTGCAGGCTGCAGACAAACTAAATGAATCGGGGAAGTTGGAAAGCCGATGGAAGTGAATCAGAATAAACAATGCTTGAGAGAAAATAACAGCAGTCAGAACATTCAGGATAACAAACACCATTGCCAGTCACACTATTTTGTTGTATTCTCTTCCCCACAAGAAGTTCTTCCGGGTCAGACACCACCACAGTCACTGTCACCCACTGCAGGTGTTCATGGAGTTGGATGCGCTGATAATAGTAATTGAAAGCCAAGTAATTGGCCTGTAAATGTGTGTTCTGATTAAGCCCCGGGCACGTGGACATATTTCTCCCACTTGCTTCTCTCCCTCTCCCCCACCCTGCTGGGCAGGCTGCTGCATCCGTCACATCAATAGATTTCCTTGTCCTCTAGCTTTGAGGGCATTGAATCAGTGGGAGCAGTGGTAGGAGACTGGAAGGGGAGGGGCTTCAGCTGGGTCCCTCCTCAGCTGCTGTCTCCAGTCTAGGTTCTTTATGTCTAGGTTCTTGTAAATGCTCCTCCCTTGCTCCTTCGGGCTTGGGTGTGGATATGTACCCACACTGTGACTCATCCAGGACACTGCCCGGTGGCTCACACTGTCCTTTACTCTTCCATTCTTCAGTTAACACTCCCACTTGTCATCCTCCTCTGTCTTAATTTAATCATGCCATCTGTACTGGCTAGGACCGTGATGAGGACATCTAGGAACTCCCTCAGGTCTCCTTCTACAATGAACTTGTCTCCAGCTGGGTGGCATTTTATAAAGCAATCTAGAGACACACATTCCAGGAATCAGAAACCCACTGCTTTTCTCACTGTGAGTGAGCATTGCTTTCTGTCTCAAGATTTCGGTCCTAATCCTCTCAAGCTCTAAATCCTCAGGTGGCAGTTTTGTCCTTTTTACATGTACTATAGGCAGCGCTCAAGTAGTCCTTCAGCCTCTCTCTAGCCAGGTTAGATGCCTCCAGCCATCAGCTCTGGTGACCCAGGCAAACAGCAGGCAGCAGCTGGAGCAGATTAAAAAGCAAAAACCCTTAATTCTTGGTAAGCAGCACCTTGGGTCTAACAGAGACTAGCACCTAAGGAATTGTTTTATTTATCTTGAGTAAAATGAAACAGAGATTTGAGCAAAGATGGGGCTTACCAACATTCGTTGGGCAATTTACAAACACATTTTGAATTCTTCACTTTCTCCCAGGGCTGACACTTGGGTGCTGCCGATGTCAAAGGGGCATCTAAGAGGCAAGAGATACAGGAGGTGTGGTCACCTGGAAAAGAGCTTCTTCGTGGTCAACACGTACCATTTTCATTGCTGAACGTGGCTCTGCATTAGTCTCAACTGCAACAAGTGTACACAGTAAAAATATAAAACGCTGGAAAGCATTTTACAAGAGATGGAGCATTCTATGCAGTACCCCAAAAATAATGCCATTGGTCATGGTCACTACCATTTCTGGAGCAATTACCATTAGCTATACACTCTTTATACACTGTGATACTTAAGTCTCCTTAGCAAATGCCCATTTAAGAGACGAGGAAAGTAAAGATCAGAAAAGTTAGAAAGTTGGTGCCAGTTCACACATTTAACAGATTGGCCAAACCAGGATTCAAGTCGGGATTCTGTCTGAATCCATGGCTGGTAGGGCAGGGTCCCTTTCATCAGGAAGTTGGAGTTTAGTGCTCACTTCAACAGTGCATATGCTAAAATCGGAATGACACAAAGGAGATTAGCATGGGCCCTGCATAAGAATGACACACAGATTTGTCATAGGCACAGACAACAGGAGGAGACTAGAGTTTGGGCAGTGAGCATGCAATAAATTATACAGATGTTGTATTATAAAGTTGTACACCTTAAATTTACATAATGTTGTCAACCAGTGTTACTCCAATAAATTTGATTTTTTTTAAAAGCTGGTGTTTGCTGTGTGGACAGCATTTTGCCTGGTGCACCTTCAGTAGAACAGGAAATAGCACTATGACTTGACTTAAACACAGAGAATTCCTTGGAATCCCCAGCAGATCTGGAACCACCTCTCATGTGTAGTGTCCAAGCGGCCTCCCTTCAACAGTGAGTAGAAGTCTGGAGGTACTCCCATTAATAGAATCCTCCCCGTAGTTTTAGGTTTCCTACACACTGATCAACGGTTAACCATCATTCCAGTTTTGACAAGAAAACGCCATGGTCCAAATTATAAAAGCATGATTTGACCTGCATTGCTTCAGCTGTACTGACTGCAGTGGGAATAATCTACAATACTCTGCTGTTCCTTCCTCCTGCCAGTTTCTTTACAATGAAATTCAGTGCATTATAAAACCACTTACCTGCTGAAAAACACATCTGTAAAGCAGTAAGAAAGGGCTAAAGAGCATGTTTTCATGGATGCACAAACTATGCAATACTTCTTAACTTTGTAAAACTTTGGAGCTTTTAGACACAACAGGAATGGTATTATCTAGATCGGTGCTTCTCAACCAACAGCAATTTTGAACCCCAGGGACATTTTGTAATGGGGTGCAATCAGGGGGCACCCAAAGAGGGATTTGTAATGGGGTCCAGAACTCAGGGTATTCTAGGAAATATTAAAAATATGGGATGTCCTCACCCCCACAAGTCTAAACTGGGTGATAGGGCACATGGAGCAGGCCCATTGAGAGTTTTGTATAGCAACAGTTTTGCAGCTAACCTCAGGCATGGTCATTTAACATGTCTATAACCTTTAACTTGTTTCATGGATATGCTAAATAGCTATGGCCATGCTTTGAGCCAAGGAGATGGGAGCGACTTCTACCCAGGATGTAACTGGGAGGCAACTCCCCTTCATTATAGCATCTGCATAAGAGTTTGGAGATAATTCATTCCACACCACCAGGCCACACCTGCCTGGACTTACTAATGGCAGCCCAGAAAAGCTGAAAAAAATACGGGAATGCTGGCAGGTGTAGCCAATTGTGGGAGGAGTCGGAAATGGGGCTGCAGAGGAAGATTGGTGCGGGGATTTAAACCAGAGCACAGGAGCCTTGAGAGGGGAGGACTATGCAGCTTTGACAAGAGGAGGGGGCTCGTGCGGCTTTGGGGGTCTTTTTGCCACGTAGCTTAGGAAGCAAGAAAGCAAGACAGAGCTCTTAGCAGTGGTGCAGAGCTTTCTCTTAGCAGTTTGGAAGAATGCAGGAGAAACACTGTGGGAAGGAAAGGGGTGAAAGGACTCTTGCTGGTGGGCCATGAGAAGGTGCCACGTGAATTTGGATTAAGAACTGGAGATCCAGGTGACACAGCTGATGCTGCTGGGAACCGTGGAAAGCCTGCCGGCCAAGCATGGATTACTGGGAAGAACCAGGGGCTACCTGAGCCATGGACTTCTATTTCTTTTCCTGAGATACGGTACCCCAGATTGGGCAAAGGGGGGGCGGGGAGAAGGACTGCGTGTACTTGTGGGTGTTTTAAGGAACTTCAGGATTTTAATGAAGCCATTAAGTCATTGCTCTTAAGTTTGTATAATTTTTGAATAAATAATTCCTTTCCTTTTCACCAATCTCTGACATTAAGAGCTATAATTTCCTGGTGGTAAGGCAAACCTAACAGAGGGGGACCCCGGGAGAAGGAGGATGTCCATTCAGTAATAGAATCTTGCCCCCAGTCAGGTCCCTTTGGTAACAAACTGACAATGTCTAAAGACATTTTTGGCTGTCTCTGGGGGGTGCTACTGACATCTAGTGGGTGGAAGTCAGGATGCTGCTAAATTTCTTACAGTGCATAGCACAGGGAATTATCGGGCCCAGAATTCCAACAGTGCTAGAGTTGAGAAATTTAAACTAAAATGTACCAAATCTAAAGTTCAATGCTAACTCTTTGAAAATCATTTCTGCATTGTGATTAAAAATTCATTTGCTAATCATTTTACACTTTAAATATTTGCTAAAAGTTATTATAATTTGTGAAAATTTTTTATAGAATGACCTAGACCAAAGACTTTGGCATTTCAATCGAGCATAACTTTGTTTTCTTTGTAGCTCCATTAACCAAACAAACATGTAATTAGGGCCCATATACAGTATGTACGTTTACTATGTTAAAACCAAATCACCTTCTCATCAACACTAAACACTAAGGAAATGGTGTTTAATAGGTACCAAATTTCAGTTTGGAAGGATGAGAAAGTTCTGGGGATGGATGTGGTGAAGGTTACACAACAGTGTGGACGTACTTGATGCCACTGAACCCTACATTTAAAATGGTTAAAATGGTCAATTTTATGGTATGTTTATTCTACCACAATAAAAAAGACTAAATATTGACACAGCAGGTACTTTAAAACATTCACTTTGGAGGCTGACAAACTAGGATTTTTTGTTTGTGATAGGCTTATGTTAAAGGTAGTTATTAATATCTACATCTTCTGAAAACATGCAGGTCTAAAAAACATTCTTAATTAAAACTTAAGTAGAATTTGCTACCAAGTGGGAGAAACTTCATACCAAATTTTGCTCTAAAACGTCTGAAGCAGACACCTTAGAAAGACAAGCATGTCCTCTCCTTTGGAACTCAGGAACAACCCTATCAATTGTACATCGCTCTCTTTAACTGTAGAATTACTGGCACAAGTCCATTCCTTCAAATGTGCATGTAAATTGCAACTATGCAAGTAAATGTATACATGTGCTTCCATGCATGTAGAGAAAAGGCAACCGTCTGTGATAGGACCTTTGACACTAAACGACACGTGGTAGCTGGGCGTGGGCATTCCACGGCACAGGCCGCCTTCCTCATCTGTTCAATCCCTTTCTCACACTGCCCACGGCAGCGTCGGTCCCAAGTGCGCCTCGCAGCCTGCTCTCCGCAGCTGTGCCCACCTAGCTCACCTGACGGCATCTCCCGTGGCATCTGGCACTTCATGCTCACTAGAAAGGACGTTTCACACCAAATTCAAAGTCATAGCCAAGGGACACAGAATACCATGTAAAATGGAATGCAAGAGAGTTTTTCTTCTTTCCTGTTTTTAATGATTTCAAACATTTCTAAGTTATTTTTTAAATGTAAACAAAAGAAATAATAGGTTGTTTATTTTATAAAAATAAAAGGTTGTTTGTTTTATAAAACAAAAGGTTGTTTTAAAAAACAAACTCATTTCATCTTAAATATCTCTAAAAAGAAATGATTTTGCTTTCCGAATCTTTTTCTACCTCAAGTTCCAAAACACCATTTTAATTTGCTCAGTGTTGAAAACACTACATTTTTTGGATTTACACTATTCAGAACAACTTCACAAACCACACTTTTCCTTCAATCATCTCTGCTTTGCAGTGTTAAATGTAAATGCTTTTAAAATTTTCATTTCAAAAATACTAATGAACTCTCTGAAAGCCCATAAATAAAACATACAGAACTTCATGTAATTATTATCTCAATTTTGTACTTAATAGTCTATTTAGAATCAGGAGGAAACCAGCAATTCACTTTAAAAATCCTTTTCCTTGGCATCATAAGTGATACAAAGCTAATCTCTGATATAAGGATTTTGATTACAATTTTAGAACCACCAGGGCTATTCTTGCCTTTCTCTCATCCTGGGAGTCTGCGTGTGCCAGGTATCAAAGCCGGTTACTCGGTCTATGAACTGACCTCTTTCTCATGGAGGGACAGGGATGGAGGCAAGGACTCAACAGTTATGGTGACTCAGAGCCACCAGGACTGTCACTCTCCTGAGTGCGGGCGTCCTGGGACAAGCCTGGACGGCTCACCTTTGTGCACACAGTGGACATCCTTTATCTCAGGGCTCCACTTGAGGCTGGATCCACAGAGAAATGTCGAAGGACCTTCCAAGGACATGCCATCTGGACAGGAAAAGGTCACCTTATCGCCAATTGTGTAGGAAGGCTGCTGGGGATGACTCTGAATGCCATCCATCAGTGTAGGGAGAACACAGGCCATTTCTAAAGATAAACGCACACACAGAACACAATGGTCATTGTTTTCCCGCACCATCTTTGTAAAAGCAGGAGAGCCTTGAATGGCACTGATGGACTTGCTTTGCTTTTTCACATTAGAAGACAAGACATGCCCCACTGTGCCCCACATAAAATTGACCAACGAATGGCTGAAGACCGAAATAGTTCCCACTCTTCACACCGACCCTCAAAGCAATGCAACAATCTAAAATAAATTAGCTTATAAACAGAATCCTATAGTCTGGCCTGCTGTCAAAACCAGCCTTTTCACAACTGCCACTTATCTCTCTGGTCTGGTTAAGCCCCACTGGAATTTTCCCAAGAACTATGTTCATTGTTGTATGATTAGCATGTGTCTAATAGGATATTTTACGACCCAAAATTTTTGAAGAGCTTCCTTTAACCTTGCAACCACAGAAGTGTGAAATGTTGTTCCTCATCTCCTTTCTTGCTTGATTAGTTTATTAGTTCAAATTTTCTACTTGAAAAAATAGCAGAGAAAAATGGGATGCATACACAGTGATGGAAAGCAAGTCAGAATTCACAGTTTAAAAAAATCTTGGCAATCTCTCTAATGGACAACAGTCTACAAAATACTGCTCTCTTTCTGCACCAGAAAATCCATTCATTCATCCATTCAAAACAGCATCTATTGAGTGCCTCTATTTCGCCAAGTGTGTTGTGTGCTACTGAGGATACAAGATACAAGTCAGGGTTTGAAGATCCAAGGTCCAGAGAGAAAGGAAGTCTAAAGTGGTGATGACAATATTTAGCAATGCCTTTGTCCTTGAAGTAGTTGCAAGTTGGGCAAGGGGAGGGGAATGTTGAAAAGCTGCTACACTGAGGAGGAAAATGCAGCTTAAAGGCTGAACACCTGAGTCAAGTTTTAGGCAGTTGAGTAGGGCTGAGATAAAAATGTAGAGCCCATTCCTGTTGAAAAGAAGGGACCTATATGCACATTACTATCACAGTTCCATGTAGGGTCCATTAACAGCTACACACTAGGAATAAAGGCAAACTGGTGTAAACCAGCCTCACAGCTTGCCAGGAACAAAACAAATCTTCTCTTAAGGAAGATATCCCCCATGGCCTCAAATTATTTCTTTAACTTTTCACACATAAAGTCTGGCATTCAATCAAAACTAGTCTAACAGTCAGAAAAGATAAGAATTGACCAAAGTAAAATAAAAAGACTTTGGAAGCAGACCCAGAACAGATTCAGACAATGGGATTCAGTCCATGGGATTAACAGACATGGACCTCAAAATAACCATGATCAACAGTTATGATGGGGAAAAAAATGACAAGATGGGAAATTTCAGAAGAGAATTAGAAAGTATAGAAAAGCAGATAAATGAAATATCTAGAATTGGAAAATAAAATTAAGAACTCAATAGAGCTCTTAAAAGTACATTATATACAACTGTACAGAGAATTAACAAACTAAGATAGGTCAATAGGAAATGTAGAATGAAACAAAGAAGAAAATAATGTAAAACAAAGGAAAGAATGCATATATAATAATATATAAAGTCTAAAAATGTATTATTTGTTTTTCATGAGGAGAGTGAGCAAGAATGAAACAGGTACAATATTTTAGGACACAATGGTCAAGAATTTTCTAAAATTGACAAAGAACTTTAAAGCACAGGCTCAAGAACTCCTATGAGTATCAACCAGCATAAAGACCAGGAAAATTTCACCAAGGCACATCAGAGTAGGGTTGCTGCTGAAAAACAAAGACAAAAAACCCCAGTAAGCTAGAGGCAATGTAAGGAAGTCTTTGAAGTTTGGAGAAAATAAATGCTAACTTATAATTCCTTACCCAATAAAAAATATCTTGCAAATATGAAGATAAAATGAAGACATTTTAAGATGAACAAAGAGTGGAACTGTTTTTCACCACGAGTTTCACAATAAAAGGAAAGAAGTTCTTCAAGCAGAAATGTCTGATTAATCTTTTCATTAAACCACTTTTGGGCTCCATTACCCCCAGCTGGGGAATGTTTGTTCGTATTCCATTTCAGTAATTTCTGCTGAAGAGCTTCAAAACCGAGACAGAAAGACAAGACAGAGAAAGAGGCAGAGAGGAAGAGAGGGCATCCTACAAACCAGCAAGAAAAAAAGAGAAACCTTAAAAATGGACAAAAGATTGGACAATCACTTCACCAAGGAGGATAGCCAAATGTCCAATAAACAAGTGAAAACAGGTTTAACATCACCATTCATCAGAAAGAAATACAGATTAAAAGATATCACTAAACTCTCATACAGCTAAAAATTTTTAAAGATAGATAATGTGAGTGAGGATTCAGAGCAATCTTCTCAGATTTTGGTAGGGATGCAAATTGGTAATGATCATATGGAACACTGGCAGAATGTTCTAAATTTAAATGTAGATGTACCCTATGACTCAGAACTTTCACTTATAGATATATATGCAAGACAAAAAAACGTGCTTGGGTTCACTAAGGCATTCCTTATATGCACAGACCAAGCCATGTAGGAAAAATATATCTCTACACTCTGTCTATCCATCTGCTGAACGAACTTCTATTGCAACCGAGATGGAAGCCAAACAGTAGTGTTAACGTAACACAATTTGTCTACACTGGAACAGAACAGGATCCAAAACATTTAAGGACAGAGACAGATTGTGGTATTGATTGTAGTACCCTCCTAATTATTGAACTTTAGAAGATGTCTTGATGGTCTTAGCCAGAACTGAGCTTCCTGGCCAATTCTAATTGGTCCCAGAAATCACAATAAAATGTGCTGTACCCCCCAGGAGCTCTATGGACTAGAGAAAGCTGAGGCCTTCCTCAAGGCACTCCTGAAACTCAGGATCATATGAGCCTTTCAGTAAAGGGAGGTCAAGACACGGGGCACTCCACGAGCAATTATTTATCTTGGTTCATTCTCTTCCACATTATTATCTCATCTTAAAGTTTAGGCTACAGCCGAGGCCACTCACTCTGACAATGCATTTCCCCAACAAGCCACTGTAAATCATCTCCACATCTGGCAATGGGGTCTCCAACAAGAGAGTATCCCTCGCTGCAGGTGTACACTATATTTTTCCCAACAGGAAATGTGGTATCTTCACCCTAAACAGAAGGAAAAGAGAGGGAAAAGTATGCCTGTTTTGCATCACCAAAATGTTTCTTTAGATATATTTGGTCTATAAACCATGCCTTCTTTTAATCATCAGGCAACCAACATTGAAATTACTGATTTAATAATTGTTTATAAAAATAATTTTTGTTTATAGCCCCAGCCAACACCACTTCTCCCACCATCAATGAAGCCATTAATGTCATTGTACCATAATTTATTGATTGTACTCAAAATACCAAGCACTGTACTAAGCATTTTGCTAAAATTACTTTAGTACACACTGTCCAAGTGACTTCTCTCCCTTATGCTTTTAGTTAAAGGCAGTTTGTTGTCAGAATTTGGAAATGTCCTTGTCAGTCAACCCTTCATGGTAAGATGTTAGGGGCTGTTCATTGACAATACTGCCTGATGAACACCAGTTTGAACATATAGGTTCAAATCCCATCAGCATATTCATGAAGTCAAGTCTCCCCCTGGTGACTTTCAGAGGAAGCAGAATGTTGATCTTCTCCCACCCCATCCTGTGGGGAAGGGCTGCTGGGCTGGGTCAGCTTCAAGGGCATGTCATTAGCCTCTAATGCCAGGAGGTGAACCTTCTTAGTAAAGCAAAGAAGAGTCTGAAGTCTGAGCCTTGAGTGGGTAACCAGGCTTGCTTGGGGTCTCTCCTGGGAGAGGGCTTGGAGCTGCACTGGCTATGCTACAGGCATTAGAACAGGACTCCTTGGTGCCTTCTCCCCATTGTCAGGCCTGGCCCAGGCTGGCTCCTTCATGGAAGCTGGTAGGAAACAGAGGCCCAGGTTGATATGGAGGTTTGAAGATAATGAGGAAGGACACTCAACTGGCTTTTTGTTCTAGCTCCTGGGCCTTACAAAAGGGACTCCTATATGGGAAAGTTGAACTCAACTGTGTGTAAACTTGCCTCTCTGTAAGAATTGTTAGTAGCAATCTAGAAAAATATAGACTCTCAGGATCTATTCTAAACCTACAGAATAAGGAAAAATGAAAGACGAGGGGCAGGCAGCCACCTCTATTTTTAAGGTCCTAGGTGACTCTGACGTAGCCAGTCCATGGGCTCCTTATAGGACACCACATGCACTAGAGGTTGGGCCAACAGCCTCATGGTTTGCTAAAGTATGTCAGTCTGCTCGGCCTCGCTCTCTGAGCTATGCTGCCATCAGGAACTCCACAGACTGTAGTGACTATAACTATAGTGGGACAATATGAGTGTTAGTAGTACTAGGTTCATTGTGCTCTCTCACTCTCTCTCCCTCTACACACACACACACACACACACACACACACACACACACACACGCAGAGTGCTCTTCCATCTCCCAATAGTACCTAACTGGGCAAAACTTCAGCAAAATCTCAGTGCATGTATGTTCTAAGGCCTGCAATTTGAGAGGCAAACTCCTTTGTGGAGAAAGCAAGGCAGGCTGCACACAGAGAACCCCGATGAACAACATCTCCTATGTGAACCAGGAGGAGACTTTACTGGGTCCAGGGCCCGAGCCTCACCCAAGTGAGAAGGGCACTCCTTGTTAACAGGGAGTTAAATGAACAGGGTCCCAAAGCCAGGAAAATTCCCTAGAATGACAGGTAGCAAACGGCTCCTGTTCCTTCCTGAACAAGAAAATTGCTCAAAGTATAATGACTCATATCTCCCCATCACTGGCTAAATGTCTGATTGGCTCCTGGAATATACATAATACTTCATCGCAAACCTCATTTTGTGAAAAAGAAGTGTTTTTTAGAAAAAGGTTTCTTTTAATGGCAAGAATAAAGAAAGTCCTCATTATGAAGAACTTGCTTACAGATTTCTACTTTTAGTGGGAATGGAAATATTTAGCCATTCTCTGGCATGACTGCACTTCTAATTCATTGGGCAGCAGTATTGATTACCTTGCCACAGAAGATATACCGCCTTCTGCAGAATTCTAATCACCTTGGGCCAAAGAACAAAAGTCATGATCTAAAACCCCATCACTAAAACTAAGATTCACGCATAAAATATTTTTAGCACCATTGCATCATGGAGAAGGACATGGATCATAACAACATAAGAGAGGTAGAACTTGAAGCAAAAAGTATATGTAAAGGGAAAATATGTCTCTCTCATAACCAACTTGAACAAATCCGTGGTTCAAGGCAGGGGGTGGTGGACAGAATTCTGTTGAACCCGAAGGCAAAGGAAAGCAGTGTGGTTCAAGCAATCTGGAAGGAAAAGGAAACAAAATATCATTAATGTGATAAATTTCCACAGTATAATTAGTATTTTGCACCATAGCAAGTTTTTCATTTGCATCTGAAAGGACTCCCTTTTCTAAACCCTCCTGTCACAGAGTCAGCAAGCTGCTGTCATATCTGAAACTCTGTCAACCTGGCTAACATCCTTTAACCCCCCTCAGAGATCCCCAGAGATTCCGCCCCCACCCCCAATTTACAGGCCCACCAAACTACTTTTTCATATGAATGCCTGGTCTTGGCTTATATTGCATAAATTCCTAAATCCTCCCAAGCAAACGGCAGCCGGTCCCAGTGAGCCCCAGGCCCCACAATAGCAGCAGCCAGCCTAGATTCACAGCTTAGTTTGCCTGGGAATCTCCAAACCCAGCACAAGTAGCAGCCACTTCAGATTGCTTTATGACTCAGGCAGGTTGGCTCCTAAAAAAACACAGGTTGGGGCTGACCTTGTCCTGTACTTGGGAAACTCCAGGTCCAGCATACCCAGTTGACAGCTACAGACCACATCAGAGCACTACCACCCTGACCCTGAACAGCTGATCCTCCATGGAGGGTGGAGGGTGGTTGTTTGTGGTCACAGCCAATCCTTGTGGCTAACTGGCCTGGATAAATCCCTCCTGTTGATCTGTCAACAACAATCAAGGCTCAACTTCAAGAGGAGGGTGTACTCAGCCCACACAAAGGGCACACCTAGAGTACATACCTGGGATGATAGCGGAGACTGTCACTGTACCTTATAGGACACCTACTACATTAGGCCACACCAGCAAGACACGGAATCAAAGCAGGTCTACATGCTACCAAGATAGGAAATCATAGCAGCTCTCCCTAATACATAGAAACAAACACAGCGATGCTGCCAAAATGAGGAGACAAAGAAACATGGACCCAATGAAAGAACAGATCAAAATTCCAGAGAAAGAGCTAAATGAAATCGAGATAAGCAATCTATCAGACAAACTATAGTCAGTTCAAAACACTGATTATAACGATGCTCAAAAAACTTAGTGAGGACCTCAGCTGCATAAAAAAGATCTAGTCAGAAATGAAGGACACAGTCACTGAAATAAAGAACAATTTACAGAGGAACAACAGCAGAGTTGACAAAACCAAGAATCAAATCGATGATTTAGAACACAAGGAAGCAAAAAACAACCAATCAGAACAACAAGAAGCAAAAATAACCCCCCAAAATGAGGATAGTATAGGAAGCCTCTGGGACAACTTCAAGAGGTCCAACACTCATATGATAGGGGTGACAGAAGGAGAAGAGAAAAAGCAAGAAACTGGAAATCTATTTGAAAGAATAGTGAAAGAAAGCATCCCTAATTTGAAGAAAACAGACATGCAAGTCCAGGAAGCACAGAAAGTTCCAATTATGATAGATGCAAAGAGGCCCACTCCAAGAAACATAATTAAAATGGCAAAGGTTAAAGAAAGAATCTTAAATGCAACAAGAGAAAAGAAGTTAGTTACCTACAGGAAAGTTCCCATAACACTAACAACTGATTCCTCAAAAGAAGCTTTGCAGTTTGGAGGGGATTGGCAAGAAATATTCAAAGTCAAGAAAAGCAGGGACCTACAGCCAAGATTGCAGGGACCTACCAGCCAAGCTACCATTTAGAATCGAAGGGCAGATAAAGTGTTTCCCAGAGAAGAAAAAACTAACAGAGTTCATCATTACCAAACCATTGTATGAAATATTAAAGGGAGTTACTTAAGAAAAAGAAGATCAAAAATATAAATAATAAAGTGGCAAAAAAACCCATATCTATCAACAATTGTATCTAAAAAGCAAACTAAGCAAACAAGAAGAAGAGAGACAGAATCATGGATACAGAGAGCATTTTGATGGTTGCCAGATGGGAAGGCGTACAGTATAGGAAATGGAGTAGCCAAAGAACTTGCATGCATGACCCATGGACATGTGCAATGGTGTGGGGATTGCCTGAGGGAGTCAGGGGAGCTGGGTGGAGGGATCCAAAGGAGGAAAATCATGACAACTGTAATAGCATAATCAATAAAATATACTTTTAAAAAAGGAGTTAAAGAGTTAGCCTTAATTGATAGCTTAAGCGACTACTGCATGTAGAAGGTCGTTATTCCAAAATTGTGCAGCCTTTGAATAAAGACTCCTTTCATTTATCACCAAAACTTTGCCTCTGGAATTTTGCCTAGGGGGTGGCATTGGCAGTGAGACCCCACCTGCTATCTGGCAACAACATTCCCAGAGACAAGTACCCAGGGGCAACACCCCCTCTCATCATCATTCCACCTGCTCTCCCTTCCTCAGCAGACACTGCTTACATTACGTTATGAGACATCGAAGACGTAGGAATAAGGTATCACACCTCCAGATTCCCAAGTAGCATGTTCTCTCCAACTCCGTGACGTTCAATGCACCGTTCACAAGGTCCTGGCCCCAGGAAGTGAGTGCCAGACCACTAGACTAACCAGTCAAGTTATCCACCATCTCAGGTGCCTGCACTGAGACACAGGTTATGCTTTTGTCACAGTAAGTGTATGGCAGTGGTGGCAATGAGACCTGTAACACTTTTTTGCCAGGCTCACAAGTAAAAATTGTGTGTAACAAGACTTTTCAATATTAGAAACAACTGACATTTTAGATCGCTTGCCAAAACTGCAATATACTTCCCACCATGTATAATAATTTCTAGGGATCTAAAGTAAATTGCTTAAAGAAATCAGATCCCAAAGGTTACAAGTAGGGAATTTTTGATGTATGTCCATATTCAAGTGGAGATCAAAGAATCTCTACTTCAATGGTTGTGGGCGACTGGGAAGAAAATCGTGCACTGAGCAAACAGGCAAACTTGAATATTGAACACCAACTCAGGAGGAACTAAGTCAGTGGAAGGAATTGCAATGTGATAATCATTAAATAAAAATTTATTGACTGTTTTAAAAAAGCTATTAGCCATCTCAAGCATCTGACCTTATGGTTAATGCTGAATAAATAAGTAAATAAATAAGAAAAGGTGTGTCAGAAAAGTAATAAATACAACTGCTCTTGAATGCTTACTCTGAGCCAGGCACTGGACTAATCACTTTAGGTGCCTAATCCTTTCTAATTCTGACCAAAGCTAGTTATCGTTTTCCCTACTCTGATGATCTTAATGTTAGAGGTGTGGCGAGCAACTTGCCCAGGGTCACACAGCAGGGAGGTGGCCCATCTACTTGGTGCCAGCTGCTCGAGTCTACAAGCCCAGACTGCCTCCCAGTTCCCCACAGCCTTTTGTAATAACATCGGGAAAACTTGTAACATGAGAGCAAGGTGACCAGGACATGCCTGGGTCCTTTAACTGAGCCCAGGGCTAAAGGGCAAAGCAGTCACTGATAAAAAAAAAAGCACCATTTAACTTTTAAATCTTTTAGTAGCAGCAATTGCCTAGTCCACGCCTACAGACAGCAGCAGACAATGAATTTCGTGTCATTGCCAGCAGGTCTGGTCTCCATTACCGCAGATTCCTCAGCTCCTCGTCTTCCTCTCCACACTGCCTGCTCTCTGACGTTTCCCCAATGCAGGACAGCCCGCCCCCTCTGGGAGACGGGTTATTGCATTCTCGACGCCTTGTTTTCTTTCCTTCAGCACAGGGGCTCCAAGAGGACCAGCAGTTCCAACCTCCATCAACCCTCCCTGTGAGATAAGAGAGAGGTTGGTCAGAAAGTACTCGGAGAGGAAGAGTTCAGAGTTTAGTGCTCAGCTTCCTGCTCACAGGGATGCTGGGGAAGAGGGCGATCTGGGGACTTACTACCTCCAGCATTCACCGAGGTCTTCTGCAATGGCCAGGGGTCTCTGCACACTGACCGGGGTTGCCCAGAGCAAGACTGCACTCATACACTCCTTACGATATCTTAAATCTGTTTGTCGTATTACAACCATTTCAAAGCACCTTCACATATATTCTATCATTTATTTACTTCTCACAAGAATGAGGTAAGAAGTAAATAAATGTGCACGAAGGAAAGGAAGCATGCAAGCAGGTGGAATGCTTTTGCCTCCCATCAGCACCCCCTGCATTTATTCATCCATCACACATCTGTTAAGTGACTTCTATAAGTCAGACTCTGTGTCAGGCTCTGTAAATAAATCAATCAGTCCTGATCATAAGAAATGAGCTTTCTAGAGGAGAGAGACATAAACAGATATAAAAATAAATATACAGCCCTGGCTGATATTTAGCTCAGTGGGTTGAGCTCAGTGGGTTGAGCATGGGCCTGCGAACCACAGGATTGCGGTTCGATTCCCAGTCAGGGCACATGCCTGGATTGCAGGCCAGTTCCCAACAGGGAACTCACGAGAGGCAACCATACACTGATATTTCTCTCCTTCCCTCCTTCCCTTCCTCTCTAAAGACAAATAAATAAAATCTAAATAAATAAACATAAACTATCTCATACTTCGACTGCTCATAAAGTACCTTCACAGAGCCCTGTACTAAAGTGCTTAAATCACCAAGCATGTTGTGGAGCACACAGCAGATGTTCAACAAACATGCAAATAATTGATGGATGGGATGGAATACAAAATAGAAATAAAGATGATTCAAGGAGCTTGCCATCAGGAAGTTTAGGCAACGCAAACCCTTGCTCCACAGACCTACGTTATGACAAAGCCTTAATGAGGTGACTTTGGAGGGACAGAAGGTGTTTGGGCACTGATCTAGTGTAATGGAGGAACGGGGATGGTTCAGGCACAGCAGGTCTGTTAATTCAGACAGAAAAGTAGAGACAGCCACAGGTCTTGGCCCCAGCATCTACAATCCGGAAGTGGAATGGGGATGGTGATACTGAACTGAAATGCCCGGTGAGACTTCCTTCTCTCTGTACAGCAAGAAGGGCCACCTCAGGGGCCAGAGCAGGAGAGGAAGTCCCTTTCCCACGGGTCCAACGCAACCAGAGACAATTCAGTGCACTGACCTGCTTCGCCCTGTACGAGGACCCCTAGCTCACATGCGGCGCCAAATGTGTACGGTTTGCAATGGCACTGACACTGGGTCCCCTCCACAGTGGCGAGGCCGCCGTTTTGACAAGGCTGGCAATGGCAGGGGTCAGATTCATCCAGGTATTCCTCCAGAGCCCGTCTCAGGTAGAGTCTTTTCACCGAGGCACAGGGTACTTCCTTCACCAGCTCATACAAAGGTGTCAGCTACACAGGTAAAAACGTCACCATCAGAAATCAGGGTTTTAGGCGACACTATTTTCCTTTTGGCAGTTAAGCTCAATCCCCATTAAGACAAAACCAAAAGCCACTCTTAGGTTAATTCCAATTATTTCTTGTTCAGATTTTTTAAAAAGCAATTCACTTTCTTTAGAAGACAAGTCTGGGGAAATTAGGACCAGCTGGAGAAGGCATATATATATATATATATATATATTTTGTATCCTGTGTACATGTATAATTTTAAAAAACAACAGGACATTCATTTTCTAGATATTGAAATATTATTTTGAAGACAATACATTTCCACACCTGCAGAGGACAAAAGAAAAGGAAATGTATTTGCATTAGAGTAAAGAAATACGTGCAATTAAATTTGAAATTACGTATCTTGACCCTGAGAGACTCAACATGTCTCTCAACTGAAGACCGTTACTCTTTCTCGGTGAAGACACCTAGGTAGGCACTACTGCTCTGTGTTGGGTATGTCTGACGCTTCAAGACCACGGATGTGCTGGCTAAGTGCCAACCATCTGCTCTCCCGGGAACAAAGAGGCTCTGATCTGCAGCACCTGCCGATTTCTTGAGTGTAACTACTGTCACAATGGCTGATTTTAGGCCACCTCCATGATGCCGCTGAGCACAGAATTAGGAAGAGATGCACATCACTGGCTTTGGAGAGAGTCAATACACCCTGGTGGCCACACCCAACTGTGACAAACACAAAGTTGGTCACATTGCCCCCCATCGCTGCCCAGGCTCTTCTGAACTGGGTGGCATTGTGCGGCCAGAGAGCTGTGAAACATCTCTACTTTCTCTCTTCCTTTCCTGTCCAACTAACGAGCTTGCAGAGCTAGCTATAAACAGTTACAGGAGTATGTGGAAAAGTGCACAGTTGAGAACAGCAAAGTGTGTCTGCTTTTCCCTAGTCAACAATGTAGGGTTTTAAAAAGCTATATGGGGTACTAACAATGAACATAGGCTGCTTTGAATCTTAATGAATGGCACTTTATGATGAGACTGCTGAGGAAAGTCCTCCCCCTCCTCCTTAACCCTTATTAGGAGGCAGGTAGGTGCTGTCTGGCGTTGGGGAGATAACTTGAGAAGCTGAGTCCAAGTGTCTTAATCTCTGAAAGTCAAGTTTCACCTGGGACATTACTCGATTCCCATGCCAGGGAACAGATCGCAGAATCAATTCTGCTATAGCATTTGTTTTGAAGATATGAATTTGTTCTGTTGAGATTGCTATATTAAGGAATAATAGAAGCATACCACACAAGTTTTGCCTTTTCTTACATACAATTTTGTCCACAGGAAACACCAGGTGATTACGGAAAACTGGACACACTGAACCAAGCCACAAAATGGTACATAATACACACAAAACACATACCTCCAACATCTATCTAGTTCACCGTCCTTGTGATCCACTCCCCCATCCACATCCAGTGTTACAACTGTCTGTTGTTTCTCATTGTTCTCCTTCCACTTCACAACAATCCACAAGCTGTAACTGTTCCAGCACCCGGCACGCTCCAGATCTTTTCATAGGTAGTACGCTGTATTTACTATAGTATCCACCTTTCTTAACAATTTAACGTGTATAGAACTGTGCTACTGTGTTTGCTTTGGTTTTGATTTTTTTGGTGCCTATCTTTTTTTTAATGAGTGTTACAGATTAAACTTTTGATCATTGTGTCCCTAGACCCATTTCCCCCATAAACCTTATAGTCCTTTTATTGTGCAATTTTGCCTAGCTCTTCAGTTTTAAGGAACACATTTGTTGCATTAAAGAGAACTGAGTGTCAATAGAACGTCCTAAAGTTCTGCCAGCCATGTTGGTTCTAACTGAATTTACGTGGCCCCAGGAGCATGCAAGCCAAGAGCACAGGAAGAAAGGTGATCCGACAAATATAACAAGTCTGAACACCTTTTCCTCTTGAAAGAATCTATAGCGCCTCTGAATTAGAGAACAGAAAAATCTATCAAACTTAGGGCAACAGCTTAAAATGCAAATTTTGTCATTAATTTCTCTTGAGATTAACAAGATGTTTTAACTGAAATATGGACACACAAGATAACAAATATTCTGTTTCTTGTTGTTAGGTATGCTTTCCTTTTCTCACACAGAACATAACTTGGGATTCAGAAAAGGCTAATCGCAGCCTCCTCTGTTGAAGCACCTTGACGTAACCTCCTTTTCCCAGTGCACATCAACGCGGCTGCTTTCTGCTGCTGTACACACAGCATCACATACCTTCTGCTTTATGACCTGGGGGAGCCCAGTCACAGAAGCTGCCCAGGAAGAATACCGTTCTTGGTTTCCAGCAGGATTATTCAAATCCAGGTAGCTGAGGCCAGACACGAAACCTGAACTCCCCCCTCTGACAAAGGGGGTCCCTTGCAGCTTATTGCTTGAAGTTTCTACATGAGGAAAAATCAAGGGAAGGAAGTTAGGTCGCACAAAATGAGAACACAAACGTGAAAAGTCTATCAACTGTTAAAACATAGCCCACCCAACTCTATGATATTCTGGAAAAGGCAAAACCATGGAAACAGGAAAAAAATCCGTGTTTGCCAGGGTTGTGCAGGTGGGAGGGAACAGGTGAAGCACAGAGAGTTTTTAGGACAGTGAAATTATTCTCCACGGTTCTCTGTGGTGGATACATGTCATCCACATTTGTTTGACCCCATGGGATGTACAACACCAAGAATGGACGCTCAGGAGAACAGTGGACTTGGGCTGGTGGTAGCGTGTCCATGTAGGTCCATCGAGTGTAACGAACAGACCATCATGGAGCTGGGTGCTAAGAGCCAGGAGGCCGTGCCTGTGTTGGGACAGGGGTACACAGGAATCCTCTGAACCACTGACTGGCTCAACTGCGCTGTGAACCTAACACTACCCTAAAGAGTGATATCTATTAAAGTAAAAAAAGAAAACAGTCATTATCTGACAGCAGGTGATTTTAGGGAATTATTGTTCATATTATTAATACTCTTACTGTAATAAGAATATTATGTTACACAGGAAATATATGTCTTGGAGAATACATGTGCATATTTAGGGGTGAAACTTCATGATGTTACTTCTAAATGGTTCAACACATATTACAAATGTCCTAAATATATACTATTTATACATTGCTAAGTAGTCAGTATTATAACCATTATATGTAGATATATAGCAAAATGTCAAAATAATAACTATTACACAAGGAGATGGGTATATATATATATAGGTGTTTATTATTATGCTCTTTCAACTTTCCTGTATGTTTAAAATTTTTCATAATAAAATGGGAGGAATTCACTGCATTTGGAATACTAAAAATAAGCAAAAAAGCTGTTAACAGGCACACAATAACACATGAAAAGTGCTCTGAAGATTATGAATACTAATTGAATCCTTTTTTTCATTATGTGCCTTATAATTTCAGAAACACTTTTATCTCTATAATTGTGTTTTACACTGGTCATGATCAGAAATTCCTGACTGGCAGGCAAGACAGGATGACTTTCATTTCCTTTCCTTCAACTAAATTTCATAAAATTTTCAGAAAGTTTTGCCAATTCAAAAATTGCAGTTTTATCACCAGAAATTATTAAAGCCTGACATTTTCAATAAATCACCTGAGTGCTTCCTCATCTTTACTGTCAGTGAATTTTTAATATGCAGTCACTCTTGTAATGAAGTGTATCACCAAGTTCAGTCCCTGAACTACCTGAATCAGAATCACCTGGAGTGACTGCAGATTCCTGAGCCCCAACCACGGCCCATGAGAGAATAGCCCACTTTGTTTATTTTTAAATATATTTTATTGATTATTCAATTACAGTTGTCCCATTTTTCTCCCCTTTATTACCCTCTGCCCTGTACCCCCTCTCCCACCACTTTAGTTCAAGTCCATGGGTCGTGCATATAAGTTTGTTGGCTTCTCCATTTCCTATACTGTTCTTAACCTCCCCCTGTCTATTTTGTACCTACTGTCTATGCTTCTTATTCCCTGTCCCTTTTCCCTGTTCTCCCTGCTCTCCCTCCCTGCTGATAACCCTCCATGTGATCTTCATTTCTGTGGGAATCAGCATTTTAACAGGCTACCCCAGGTAACCTCATGCACGCTAAAATTTGGGAATCATCATCCTAGCTGAAAACCCTACTTATGAACTACAGATCCTAAAAGATCAGTGTTTATGTTTATTTTTAAGCTTGTAGCCTTGCTGGCCATACCACAGCAAGCTCTGCAGCAGGTCCCCTTCCCCTAGACAATCAGCCTGGTCCAATAGTGAAGAACTCGGATCTGGAAGCCAGATGTCATATACCTGTAGCTCATGTCTGATGCTTACCAACTACGACCTTGGGCAACCTTTCTGTGCCTCAGTGCCCTTGTCTGTAAAATGGGAATATGAACAATACCTAACTCTTAAGTAGGCGGAGTATATTGGTTAATTTTTGTGAATCACTTAAAATTGTGCTGGACACATAGTGTTATGTGTTTGTTGAATACAAAATAAAATAAAATCAGTGAATAGCTTCCGGTCACCAACCCAGCTGGTGACTAATGTTGACACCTTCCCAAAGCTCCCACTTCCACTTCCATTTCCAGATCAGTGTATTTCCATCTCGTTCAAAACTTGGGCTTCTCCTTTGCCATGTTAGCTCATCGAGCAGCCACTTTCTCTGGCAAATTCACTGCTGTAACCCCAGGGCCTACGACAATCCCTGGCACATACTACGGGTTTCATAAACTGTTGGTGAATGAAGTAAGTAAATAATCTTGGTTTCATTACCCTGTCTGCCTCCATCCTGCAGTCATCTACCAATATTCTATAAGAATCTCCTCTTATTCAGTGAGAACTTTGGCCCCGGGGCCAGTCTTCACCATCTCCCCAATTTCTACCATCACCCCAGGAGAACTTAATCTCCATACTGCTGTCCACAGCCTCACACGAGGCACTGCAGTCTCACTTCTTTTTTTAAAGTCTGTTTTATTGATTATGCTATTACAGTTTTCCCAAATTTTCCCCCTTTCTCCCCCTTCCACCCTGTACTTCCCAACCCTTCAGCATTGCCCACTCTTAGTTTATGTCCATGGGTTGTACATATAAGTTCTTCAAGTTCTCTGTTTCCTATACTATTTTTGACCTCTCCCCTTCTAGTTTATGCCTACCAATTATGCTTCTTCTTCCCTGTACTTTTCCCCCATTCCTCCCCTCCCCTTCCCCACTGAAAACCCTCCATGTGATGTTCATTTCTCTCTTTCTGTTCCTGTTCTACTTGTTTGCTTTGTTTTTGTTTTTGTTGTTTTTCTTTTTTTAGGTTCATTTGTTGATAGCTGTGAGTTTGTTGTCATTTTACTGTTCATATTTTTTATCTTCTTTTTCTTAGATAAGTTCCATTAACATTTCATATGATAATAGCTTGATGATGATGAACCTTATCTGGGAAGCACTTAATCTGCCCTTTCATTCTAAATGATAGCTTTGTTAAATAGAGTAATCATGGATGTAGGTCCTTGCCTTTTATGACTTGGAATACTTCTTTCCAGCCCCTTCTTGCCTGCAAGGTTTGTTTTGAGAAATCAACTGATCGTCTAATGGGAACTCCTTTGTAGGTAACTGTCTTCTTTATTCTTGCTTCTTTTAGGATTTTCTCTTTGTATTTAATCTTGGGTAATTTAACGATGATGTGCCTTGGTGTGTTCTTCTTTGGATCCAACTTCTTTGGGACTCTCTGAGCTTCCTGGGCTCCCTAGAAGTCTATTTCCTTCACCAGATTGGGGAAGTTCTCCTTCATTATTTGTTCAAATAAGTTTTCAATTTCTTGATTTTGTTTTTCTTTTTCTGGCATTCCTATAATTCAGATATTGGAACATGTCAAGTTGTCCCAGAGGTTCAAAAGTCTCTGTTCAGTTCTTTGGATTCTTGTTTCTTCATTCCGTTCCAGGTGGATGTTTATTTCTTCCTTCTGTTCCAAATCATTGCTTTGAGTCCTAATTTCCTTCCTGTCACTGATGGTTCCCTGAATATTTTGCTTTATTTCATTTTGAGTATCTTTCATTTGTTCTTTCATTTTTCAACCAAGCTCAGTTCTGTGAGCAGTTTGATTACCAGGGTTTTAAATTCTTCATCAGATAGGTTGGCTATCTCCTCCTTGCTTAGCTCTCTGGAGTTTTGCTCTGTTCTTTCATTTGGGCCCTATTTCTTTGTTCAGGGCACCTGTTAGTTGTAAGGGGCGGGGCCTTAGGTACTCACCAGGGCAGGGCAACTCCCCTTGCTGCACTGCTTAGCTGCCTGTGGGAGAGGGACCAGAGAGGGAACAATGCAGCTCGCCTGCTCCTCTCTAGTGCACTTTCCAATGAACTCTCCTGTGAGACTAGGAGTTTCTCCCACCTGGGCAACCACCGTAGTCCACAGTCAGCTCTGAGTCTCAGTTTCCCGTTCAGCCAGCCTGCCTGCACGGTCCGCCACCTTGCTGCAGTTTCTCTCCGTCCTCGGCCTTATCGGTATGGTTATTCTGTTTGACTATTTCTTTAATTCCGCAGTTGTTGGAGTTCCATGCAGTCTGATTTTCTGGCAGGTCTGGTTGTTACTGATTTTAGATTGGTTGTTACCTCTTTTTGGTTGTGCGAGGAAGGGAAAGTTTTCTACCTAAACCTCCATCTTGGCCAGAACTATAGTCTCACTTCTAGCTCTACCAGGCTAAGAATCTCCCCATTTGCAGGCAATTAAGTGTTAATTGCTGAAATCCAAGAGTCTTCAGTCCTTTTCTTACTCACCTGCTCTCTAGCATTTTTGTCGACCTCTGCTCCTTTACTTTCCATGTTACTCATCTTTTCTGGTTCTTATCCTGTCAGATTATTCTTCTTCAGTCTTTCTTCCTTCTTTGCCACTTTATCCTTGTGAATGTCCATTTAATTACATGTTGTGTTAAACCCTTTAATGGCACCCCTTGTCATCAGGACTGAACCCCAACTCTTTCACTTGGCATCTAGACACAGTCTGGATCAGCTCACTCTCCTGTTACTTCTTCACCCAAACACCAGCACCCTGGTTCCCACCTCCCTACCACCACCATCACCCACAGTGTGCATCAAGGACTTCAACCTCACTGAGCATCCATGTCATAGAGAGAATCTGAACCTTCTCCTGATGGTGACGTTTTTCTAGGCTTGTCTGCTAACAGCCACCATAGGGAAAAGAGGTGGTAGACACTGAGGACATACCTACAGTCCACAGAAGACACCCAGTGAATCTCACTCTGCACGAGTCTCATTGCCTTGACATGTGAAAGAGAGATCAGAAACAAAAACCACCAAACACTTGAAAAACACAAAAAAGGACACTTGCTAAAATTTTAAAGGACCTTGATGACTAGGAATTAACCGAAGAGAGAGGGATGGAGGTGAAGTGTGTAATGCATACTGCCCCTTTCCCATTTACCTGAAGCCCATTTTAAGGCATCTTTCAGCTCCTTGCATTTGCTTGAAGAATATAAAATCACGAAATTTTTGGAACTACAGCCCTTCGTATTTATTGAACTAAGACCTGGTGGGAAAAATTAAAAGGTGCTTAATTTTGTTGAAGACCTATGAAATGCTGCCAGGTATGAGACTGAGGACAAAAGACTGTCTCCTACTACTGTGCCCATCTGATCAAGACTGATATGATCGGTGCATTTCAAGTGCTCTAGAAGAGTCAATGGTCAGAAAAAGGAATATTTGATTTTTGTTATTAAACAAAGTAACCAGATATTAAAACATACTTTCAAATGGTTGAGCAAATAGAGTTCCCTTCTAATTTTGACCAGAGAGAGAAGGAGCTAGGCTGATTTCTATATGAAACCGTGTAGGGAGCAGAAATTAAATACCCTAAGGAGCAATAGCATTCACTAATTCTCAGTCAGCCTCTCAGACATGATGCAAGTAAATAAAAGTAGATGTGTGGTGGGCTCCAGGCCACCTACTACAGAGCTCAAAGCTGGTTTCTGGTTCTACAGCAATTAAATCCCAAACCCTAGTTTGATAGCCTCCATCTCTCTATCTTAAACACCTCTGGTTGCTGACATTTCTTGCCCCTGACTCATAACCTTAGTATGTGAAAATTACCACTCATTATCAAGTGCGTCTATTTATTTTTTCAAATGAGGATAGAAAATAATAAAGCATAGAAAATACTTTTCTTATATAATTTTATTAAGGATAATAACCTCAATATTTCTTAAAGAACAATAGGGGGCATGTACAGGGTGGGACATGTAGGTTTACAATTGTTCATATGGACAATGATACAATAATTAACAAATAATACTACAAGAGTAAACTGTGTTTCCTGTACTCACAACTGTAAACCTACTTTTGCCCCACCCTGTATTATGTCCCAGGAAATTTGATTATATTTAAATTAAAATATTTAGGAAGAACAGAGACTGCTCAAGGGTAAAATTTTACTCAAAAATACTTTTATGAAATTAAAAAGGGTTTAAAAATTCTCTCCATTTCTTTTAAGTCCTAAATTAAAAGAAGAAAAAGAAGGAGGGGTGGGAGGAGAAGAAGAAGGAGAAGAGTAAAACTGAATTCAGATCAAGTCACTTTCTGGATTAATTTTCTAGAGAAATATCACCTCTGTCATTTCTACAAAAACCTGCACTTATGCAATTTAATTCAACCTGTGAAGTTAGAAAAGTTCAAATACTACTTCAATGTTATTGCTAAACATTAAGCCCAGTGGAAAATTTAGCCAATGGAAACAGAAAAACATTGTAGTTCACCCACAGGGCAAAGCTACAAGACCTCCTCTGAATCTCAGGTAAGAAGCCTTTCACCACCCTGAAACCCATAACGGAGCAACTGCTGTAAGTCTGGGAAACTGCGCTGCATTCTCTCTGGTGAAGATGTGATTAGACAGTTTGGAACATCTCCCTATAATCTCCTTATGACAGTGATATCAAGTAGGCATATGACCTGGATCCTGCAGTATCAATTTTTTAACCCTACTGCTCTAATTTTACCATCATATTTTAATAGCAGCTGATTACTAATTAGTTCTTGTTATAGAAAGTAAATAAAGTGTGCTGCCTCACATTTTTAAACTGCTGTGTTTAAAAAAAAAAAAGAAGGTTTACTCTCTTCCAAAGTCATAAGGGCATCTTGACTAACGAGGAACACCCTGAAGCGGACATTTGGGATGGAGAAAGAAGAATGAGCATCAGCTTAAGGATAAAGTTTGGAAGGAGCAGGTTTGACTGGGAATGTTAGTAAACCAGGGCCAAAAGATCTTTGGAAAGGAAAAACGGATAGTAAGTCGTCACTCCCTCCCTTCCCACACGAGGGTAGCTAGTGAGGATTTCAGTGTGAAGTCCACAAAGCATGAACTGATTCCAATGAACAACAGGCATTTCTATCAGCCACATGGTGTAAGGCAAAAGCTAAGCTGACTTTGGAGCTGGTCAGATCTTCTTAGGATCTACATGCCCTCTGATGGGTCTCCTCATAGCACCAAGTCTCCGTGTGTCAGTCTGTGAGACAGCAATTCTAGTGGCCACCTCACTGGGTGACAGTGAGGGTCATTGCTAAGATACAGAACTCGCCTGTTGGAAGGAAGGCAGCCAATGAACTTAAGCTGCGGTTACAAGTGTTACGTAGCAAGCAAACGTATGATAACCAGGACAGATTTTTTAAAGGAATATGAGTGGTAAGGAACAGAGGTGAATAAAACAGTTCTTTAAAACCATCTTGATTTCCGTAATAACAGTCAATTCCTCATTCATTTTCCCTGAGGAATATCATGTAATCTGAGAAAGGGGAATGCTTATAAAGTATTCTACAAACCCAGTCAACACCCTCTGGAGAAGCCAAGACTAGTAATGGTTTAACTCACATTTCAGGTCACTGTCTCAAAGGATAGGCAGGCTTTTCTTCAAGCCTATATGACTTTGAGTTAGAGCACAGTGGATTCTTGTAGTTTGGGAATCCTCTGCAATTTAATTTTTATATGTCTTAGTTTAAAGCTTTAAAGTTTAAATTAACTATGTGTAATTTCCCCATTACAACCCCTGCAATGATTTTTATAACATTAAAAAAAAATACTCTACCTCTTTGTTTCATCTTTTCCGTGTCCACGTAAAACAGAACTTTGTACTCTCCTCCTAAGGATCCCGACTGCAGAAAATGTGTCCCATAGTTGTCGATTAATTTTCGGTAGGCGCTGTAGTCATACAGGGAGGGGAGGTGGGAGAGTTCCCTCCAGAACGGCTCTGCGAGTTGTAAAAATTCTGGATTGTTGTTGATGAACTGAGCCACTTCTACCGTGTTCTCAATAACCAGCAGTTGATAACTCTGTGGGAAGAGTAAGAAGTAAAGGAACCTTTCGGTCAAAGTGAAGAAGTAGTGGAGATAACACCCTGTCCGATGTCTTCACTGATCGCCAGCTTGAACCCAGACTATATGAATTTTAATTATGATGCATGAGAAGGTGTATTCTGGGCCCACTCACTTGGAGCAATGTAAGGAATTTTAGGAATCCCAAGTACGAATAATATCTGAGGGATGTCATGCTCCTTTCTTCTATACACAGCCTTGAAAACACCATGACCAAGATCGTATGCCCTCCTCAACTACAGAGAGAGAACCAACTTTCTTAACTGCAAAACAATTTTACAAATAAGTGTATAAAATAATGTGTCCCTAGGATCCGCATCTCAGTGATGACTTCTAGGTAGGGTGACTGTATAATTAGCTCCCATACTGAAGCATTGACAAATTAACCCACTTTATAATGAGGCCTTTTAATTACTTCTTAAGCATTTTTCATAATGTTCACGAAAGATCTACCTTTATCAAATCTCACTTACATGAAACAATATAAATATGATAAATGTTTCCATAGCTCATATTTCTGCAGCTTCTTAGTCATAAAACAAACAAAATATTCTTCTTTTATACCTCCCTTGTGTGATTTATTAATCAAGTTAATGACTTTAGGAATGAGATAAAAATATGCAAATTATGAATGATCATTAGCCTGAATTTTTTTCAGCAATAAGTGTATATCAATTAGTATAATTCATATCACTGTTCAGGTTGCCCAAGATGAAAATTTTGAAATTTCAAAACAACAAAGTATCTTAAGTCTTGTAACTTCCTTATATGAAATTTTGGTATCTCAAAAGTAATAAAGTATTTTAAAGTTTTTCTAGTATTAGCATTTAGGAAGCACATATTAATTGGATTTTTAAAATTACAACACTTAAAATAGTAGCATCAGTAATCATGGATGAGAAACTTATGAAAGTTTTAACTAGAAGATTTTTTAGGTTTTGAGATAAGTACAAGCACTCTAATGAAAAAATAAAAGTATAAATAAATATTCAAAGAGAATTAACAAGACAAGACTGTACCTTTTAATAAGACAAGACTGTATCTTTTAAAGAAATATATAGTGTTTCTGGAGAAGATACTATTGCCCCATTAAAAAATGAAAGCTGATGCTTTTGGTAAACACACTTGTTAATGCTATAAATCCTTAAACCAGTAAATTATGGAAACATTAACTAATATTTCATACTAACCTTTTTCTTCTGGTTTTCACTGTAACCTTTACTAGAAGTAGAATGAGAAGAACTTGATGAAAATCCAAAAAAGGATTTTTTTCTTTCAGATGATGAATACTTTGATGTTTGTTTTACATAAGACCAGCTACTGTTGTAAAATTCATAATTAAAATCATTATTTATTTTCACCTATAAAGAAAATGAAAAGTTTTGCTATAAGCCGATTAAGATTTAGACATAATCAAGAATCTTTTGTCATAGATACTTTAATATGGATACTTTTTTCACAGAATCCCTGAAAGGCTAAGTTCTTCACTGACACCAAGCCATGGTGTCTGTCATTAAGACCAGGCCTATAGGAGTGTAAGGAATAGAGTTCATTCTATAATTACTATTTGTTAAACAAGAGACATGGTATCAATAATGGCAATTCCAAATGATTCACAAAATACATCTGTGTACAAACATCTTCCATTTCTTATAATGCTAATGTTTAACCCAGAAGTGAACAAAGTAACAAGGCTACAATAAAAAAAGCACAAAACATTTGGTTCTTGATTTTTTTTTTTTTTTGCCTATCAGAAGAACAGAAATAGAAATAGGTAATATGAAGCAATCAAATTATTCAGATTTTGTTTTGGAGTGTTCTGTGTGATCCAGTAGTAGATTTAACTTGCCAATTCTGCCATGATTTCTGCAAGTAAGCCTCTTAGCAACTTAGGTCAGCATCTCTTCACTCCCATGCACTCCACACATAACTGCAAAAATCATCTTTTTTCAAAGTAGTAGGATCTTAAATTTTCCTTAGTACTTCTTCCTTCCAGCTTAGATTCTGGGTTCCCTTGGAAATCATAAATTCAAACATCCCATGCTCCAACAGCACTTACTCTTTTGACCCTCGTTCCATTCTTTCTCTGTCACTCAGCTTCGTAGAGACAAGCTCACCAATTTCTCTTCCTTTCTTTTCTCTGTATTAGCACCCATTCAACTTTCTCTCTTTCTCCCATTTCCTACGGTAACTGTTTCAGAAGTTCTGCAACTGCCCCCATGCCCTAGTCTTACTTACAACCACTTCCTTTCCTCTAAGAAGCCAAACCTAACCTGTTTCTTTACAAACACTCCTGTGATCACACAGAGTCCTCTTAACCTTCTGGCTCACCAAGCTACAAAGTTATTAAGGTTTCTTCTTCTCCTTTCTTCCACAAATGTCCCTCCTCCTCTCTAAGGCTAACTTCTCTGTCTCTTCTCAGTATTCATTTCCTCTCACCTCTTCAAAGGACGTATTTAATTGATTAAACATTCCCTCCCCTGAACGTCAACTTTTCTTTCTCTACTGTCTCATTCCTATCAACACTTACACATACTCTAACCCCATCAAAGTAGAGTCACTGCAGGGACCCTGCAGTCCCATGCATTTCCAGAGCTCAGGCCCCAGGCTTGTCACCTGCTACCTCTCTGATCAGGGCTAAGTTTTTCAGCATTGCTTTGCCTCAGTTTCTTCGTCTGTAAAACAGAAATAACAGTACCTACTTCGAGTTATTATAAAGAAAATAATCGATGTAAAGCACTTAAAATAGTGCCTCATATATAAATGCTTCTTAATGCATATATTTTTATTATTCTTTAAAGTATTGCTGGTTAACCAGCTAGATGTAGAAATCTCAGACATCTAAACTCAACCGAGTTTAAACAGAGGAAACAGTAAGATAAATGAATTAAGCAGTAGTTAAAATTGCTTTTAGAATATGTTTTTGTTATTCATTTGACATGCAGATAGGATTTCTCTTCAAAAATATAGTGAAGTACGCTCAAGACCAAATACAGAAAGATCCAGGGAGTTATTTATTTTCTCCACCCTAACCTTTAACTAGCAACTCATTTGGTGCTGAGAATCAGTACAAGTCTTTTGACTGCCTCCCAGGATAAACTAAGCAGACTGACATTTTCCCAGGGGGAGCATGGAGCAGGAATGTGCTTATGTTTCAAAAGCTTCCTTGAAAAACAGCAGGAATGAGAAATTATTCCTCAGCAAAATAGGTGGCTGACTCTGGGTTTGCCCTGAATAAACTTTAATGCTGATAACCCAAACAGAGATTCTAACAGAGGGTTACTGATTCTCTTATGTGATTATTTATTAATATTTATATTCCAGCAAACCGGAAGTTACCTTCTGCCTCATAGAGAGCTGACCCCCGGTGGCCCAAGGTCAATCTCTGAACTGTGGAAGGCAGTCACCAGCCCACACCCCTCCTGGGTCTAGCACTTTAATGACTGACCCACGGCCCATTGCTTCCCTCTCGCTTCCCCCAGGCTGGATCCTGAAAACATCTACATTCTTCACTCACTAACAGCCTGTAATTTCCCTCCACTGTGACAAACACCTACAAATTCAGTGACTGGAAAAGCGTTTAGATGTCAATCCAGACATCAAGCCATGCTGAGAAAAGCAAATGTCAGGATGCGCATTTGCTGTGCAGGTCCCAGGCCCCTTCCTCGTCTTCAGAAACTGCGGACTCCAGCACACCTGCCTTCCAACCACATCGGAAGGTCTCTTCCTTTCTGTTCTCATTGTTCTGTAACTTTCTAAACTACACCCAATACACATGTATTTTTCATTTCTCCCTTTTATAATTATGAAAGAATTATCAACACATCCTCCTAGGAAGAGAAAGAGAACATTTTTTCTACAAATGCCCATCTCACATTCTCCCTTCCAGCCACCGGTTAAATTTGAATATGTATTATTCACCATGTAGAATTTAGAACTGAAGTGCAATTAAATATAATGCACTGGGAGAGTAAAATATAGTAGAAAAACACAGGGCTGCCAAGTCTGACAGGCTGGATCCAAGCTCTACTACTTAATAATTTTTGTGACTCTGAATAAGCCGGCTAAAATCCTCTCTCTGAGCCTCAATTTCTACATGGATAAAATTGTAAAATAACACTTTTCTTCCAAAGATATTTTGAGAAGCAAGCCTATACATCAAAAAAAAAAAATAGTGCAGGTGCCACAAGAGAGATTCAAATTGGTAACTATGATTATTTTTCATGTCAGTTTCATGATTCAATAATTCTTAAATGTAATTTATTCTGTTGTGAGTTGGAGGATGGTGAGATTGCTATTCATAATCAAAACTGCTTTCTGGAGAGGGTTAATTTTGATAAATAAGGGCCCTTATGTCTGAATATCCTAATAATTTCAGTTTACAGATTTAGGAGTAGTAGGTAGGAAGAGATGAATTGGAAATTTGGGGCATTCTGGGAAGAAGGGAGGAATGCACTAAGAGAGGAGAACTTGGAAGAAGACAGCAAGGACGAGGCAAAGAAGAAGAGCAACTGCAAACCCACTTAGTACCTCAGGACAAAATAAAAGCAAAATAATCTCCACAGTTAAGGAAGAAAGTAAGGAAGGGAGGGAGGAAGGGAGGGAGGGAGGAAGAGGGAAAGGAAAGGAGAGGAGAGGAGGAAGGAAAAAAGGAAGGAAGAAAGGAAGGAGCTAAATCAGGATGAGACCAGAAGTTCATTTGGTTCAGCTTGTGGAAGCACAAATGTTTTAAGACAAAGGAAGTCAGCTGTTTTTGTTGAATGACTTTGCACTACTGCAACAGAAAAACTTCTCCTCTAAATTACCCACAGATCTTCAGGAATATCCTCCAAAGCCCTAACTGTTTTTGCATCAGTATATTTTGTGCTGAAATCAAGCAAGAGGATGAGTTTCAGTGTGTCTGATAGAAAGGGCACGTGAAAAGCAGAAGCCTGGAGCCAGAGGAGATTCCGACTGATGCCAACAGTAAAATGTGGAAGTCAGGTAATACAGACCGCATCAGGAAGGGCATGAAGTGTAGACCACTCCTCCACACTGCTGGTGGGCCATAAATTGGTACATGTTGCAAACTTTACCTAGTGAAGTGTGTCATAGACCAGGCAGCACCCTGAGCTGCAGGAGTGCCCCAGAGAAATCCTCCCCCATTTGCATGGCACTCATGCACAAGAACGCTCAAGGCATTTCCATAAGAAACTACAGGGAACAACACTATAAATGCCATCTACATCAGCATGAATAAAATTCAACACAATAATTTGGAGTGAAAATAAATCCATAGACGTCTATATACTATATGACTTATTTATATAAATGGCCAAAACAGTCAAAACTAAATTATAAATTTTAGAGACCAAGACATAGGGGATACACTTATATAGAACGAGAAAATGATTAATATAAAATATAAGATAGTGGTTGCCTGGAGAGTGGGGTCTGGGGAATTGATCAGAGAGGGGTAAATGAGAACCTTGAAGTCACTGGGAAAATTCTAGTTCTTAAGTGGGGTGATGGGCATGTATGGGTATTTGTTTTATTAGTTTTTTTCAACTGCATGTACGTTATTCACACTCTTTTGTATATATATGAAATATTTCACAAGTTAAAAATAAAAGCATTTTGAAGGGACACTGTGGCAATTCTAAGGAAACAATCACACCAGGCACGGCCAGGGACCGGAGTTTTGACACCCATGCAGGGCCAGACCATGAGGTCCCAAGCCACGCAGAGCAGAGGCAAAATGAAATGAGGCAAATCAGCATTTCAGCCTACATGGCACCAGCTGAAAGCACCATCGCCCTGTACTCCAGAGTTACAGAATATGTGTTCTTTTTAAGTCCATATAAAACATTTATAAGAATGACCACATAATAGGCACAGGTAAATTCTCCATAAATACCAAAAAAATAAACATCATACAATAATGATCTCTAGCAGCAACTCCTGGGTTAGAAGTAAGTAAAACCAGTGTCACGAAGTACCTGGAATGCATAGGAGAGGACGTTCGCACTCAGTCTGTAGTAGTCTCTTCTATCCCCACTAAACACCTTTCTGCACTGGCCACCGAAACTCTTTGTGTTGATGACTCTGTTCCTGAACTGGCCGGTGAGGGCATTGTAACTGTTGTTGGGGGGGGGGGGGACGGTTAAGGAAGAAAAGATGGCTAAAATCAGAAATAGCACTTGCTGCAAAAGGCATCATCAGAAAACTCTAGAAATACATCACGGTTAAGGACGTCTTGGAGCTCAGATGATGGGAACAGCATCCCAGTGCACACCGTTTATTATCTAAACTCCCTTGGCTGGTATGAGAGCTAAAACTGACCTCTGGGACAAGCCAACATCTCTGCAGTGTGAGGACATGTTTGGGCAACACACGGCCCTTTTGTATCTATGGCAGCAACTGGCTTTAAATTCAATTTGTAGATAAAACCAATACAATTAAAATTACTCAGAGAGAGAGAGAGAGAGAGCTTTCTACAGCGAATTTCAATAGATTGTCTCTTGGCAGGTTGACTGGCAGACCCTTTAGAGTAATTTTATCATTTCTCTGGAAATGAATTTGAAAATATCATAGGAAAAAATTACATCTATCATTCTATAATAGATTATTTTAAAGCCTTGACATTTTAACTTGGATTTCTAATCCTTAAAAATTCTTCAGAATTCTCTTAGTCCCAACTTTATTTGTAAATGAAATTTCTCAGCTAGTTTGAGCAATTGCTTTTCAGACTGAATATTCCCAACACGCATCTCCCTTTCCCTGCTCTCATGCTACTGTCTCCCTTCTCTTGAGTAGCCCTACTTCACTGAATCAACTCTCTCTCTCTCTCTCTCTTTTTCCCTCCCCTTCCCACCTTCCCTCCCATAGTGTGACTGACTATTTGGGTTTTTCCAGAGTCTGCGATGTTTCTCTAGATGCAGGACTTTTGCTGCTAAAACCAGGACAGTCCAGGGACAATTGGTCACCATATAAATACATACATACATACACACACATATATATATGTGTGTGTGTGTGTGTATGTGTATATATATATACACACACACATACACATATATATATATTTACAGGTATACATATAGGAACTAAAAGGGTGTTTCAGGATGCAGCAAAGAGCTCTGAGCCAAATACTTGATTATCAGATGATTTGCTATTAGACTTATAAAAAAATAAATAAATAAAACCAAATGAAGACTTATAACCCACCAATGTGCACAGGAGGTTGCCCAGTACCTTACCCATTTCCAGTAAGTTCTATGTTGGGAGGAGGTTTATCAAGGTCACAGGAAGCTCTGCTCTCTATGTTCTCGCATCTGTCTTCATCAGCGCTGTCTTCTTCACAGTCAGAATCGCCATTGCAAACCAAGGATTTGCTGATGCACTGACCTGCCCATGAGAAAAGCCGCCACACAAAAGTAAAAGAGGGGAGAAAGGAACCACCACATGGGATCAGAAAGGTTTGTCTCCAGTCCCCAGCACCATACTGGCCTGCTAACATGAATTTGACCTAAATCTTCAGCATGTCCAGGGGAAAACTGGTGATTATATTCGTCCTCATTTTGCAACACACAAAATTGATTCTCACCTTGGCCAGACACAAAATTGAAAATAAAACCCGAATCCCCATTCCAGGCTTTATCTCATGAGCAGCAGGCAGTCTGTCTGAATCCTCCCAAATCATACAGTGCCAGCCACTGGGAAGGTAGTGTGACCTCCTGCCCTTCAACTTCCAGTTTCCTTTCTGGAATCACTGACGAATCCTGCTTTTCTTGGTGATGTGGATGTACCAGCTTTGAGAGCACAGAAACTGAGCCAAAGGTTAAAACTCAGTGTTTCTTTAGCACCTTCTCTGTGCAAGACACTCTCCTGGTGTGGGGATACAGATATGAATGAAACAGTTATTTGTCAGGCTTTTAATGTCCTTTACAAAGTAACGGGAAGACTATGAGGACATAGATCACTACCATTCAACACCATCATTGTCGCAAGAGACATAAGCACAGGGGTCCGAGGGAACACTGAAGAGCAAACAGCCCAGCCCCCAGCTACCTCTCCAGCATCGTCTCCAGATATCCTGCTACCTCCCTGTGCCCTAGTCTTATTGGATCACTTACATGAATAAAGGCCAAGGCCTTCTGTCATTGCCATTGACCCTGCACTTACATTTCTCTAGATCAAATTACACATGATCTCCTCTGAGAAACACCATCCCTATCCCACAGGCTACAATGCTGTGCTTCCTCCCATCCTCAGAGTAGGCAGGCACTGCACACCCCGTCCTGATAGTACAGCATGCACCCCACTATGCTGTCACTCAATCCAATGCAGCAAACATTTGTCGAGAGTCAACCAGGCACTTCAGGTGCAAAAGCCCCATAAATACAGGGTGGGACAAAAGGAGCTTTACAGTTGTTCATATGGAAAATACAAAATTAATAAATAACTAATAACATAAGCATCAACTCTGTATTTTGCATATCCATAACTGTAAACCCACTTTTGCCCTACCCTATTTCTTCAGAGTTCACAATCTGCCAAGAGACAACCAGACTGACAAGTACTCCAGAATACAGATGGTACAAGGTATGTAGAAAACACAGAGAAGTGTTTGTTAATTAGCTTTATCAGTTAAAGTCTGGGGAAAGTTTCCCAAAGGAGGTGTCATTTCATTTGGGTTTTGAAAGTAAAATAGGAGTTTGGCAGGTATTGTTGAGGCGCGCTTCTAACACAGAGATTGTTTATATAGTATTCTGTTCATAAAACTTTAATTATTTTTTAGGGAAGAGGCTATGTGTTTCATTTCTAAATCCACAACCCTCCTCAGTATATCTGGAATTTAACAAGAATAATAAACGTTTGCTAAAGGTCGTTGAATTAATCTGATTGCACAAATGACTCATAGACAAATCAAAAAATGGAAAAACTATGTTTCAATGACCCATGCGCTGGGGTGACCTGTATTGCTCCTTGATTAGCTATTACAGTTGCTTTCCTTATAAACATAATAATTCTGGTTGTAACATCATTTTTTCTCAGTATCAGTGCTCATGCCAGATCTTCACCAAAAACACGATGTCAAGTGCTGTTTGGGTCTATCAGTCGTCACATTTCTTTTCAAAAGTCAAAGGGTATCCCCGCTTTTATTAACATATGCTTCCCCTTGATTTTGAAAGAATAATGGTTAAGTGTGTGATTATTATACCAATAAAAGTGACAACTGATACTTGGGGGAGATTAACTTACAGGTCAATATAATCCAGTAAAATTCAACAAATATATACTGAGTGAGTTACACAAATAACATTTGAGTTCACACTTTGCATGCTAAACTGATGAAAAACATGTACCTGAAAAACACCGGAACCGCTCTCCACATCCGTCTTCTGCTGGGCATCCCTGTGTCGGTTCACACGCTTGTGTCTGAAAAGCACTTCCGGCACAAGGCTGGCCACCAAACTGCCCATAAACCGCAACTGTCTGCCTGCGAGTCTAAACAAAAAACAGTCCTTCATCTGAGAAATAAAATCTGAGAAAAATTCATACAGTTGGAGAAGCAGTGTTTGGCAAATGTTTCTGGCATCCTGCAGAAGTAAAATCTCTAAAGCAATGAGCCCACAGACCCCTTGGTCCTTGAATCCAGTGACATTGGATTATTGTTATAGACTGTATATAAATTTACTATATGTATTTACTATATACATTTACTGTCAGGAGTGAGTAGTAAAAATATGTATTAGTGAATCTTTAAGAAAGTAACCTGAAAGTATTAGCTGGGTAGACATATATGCAAATAGACTGCAATATAGAACGATTAATTTTCGCCAAAGCTATGTACCAAAAGTTAATTAAAGAAGCGACAATGAATTTGGCTGGAGAGCAGGTAATGGCATTGGGAAGGGGGCTGACATGAAGTGCAGTTATGGAAAACTTTAGAAAAGCGGTGGCAATTGATTTGAGATAAATTTAATCTTTTTTCAGGAAGGCAAGGCCAGGTCAAACAATCCAGAAAAAAATATGTTAAGAGAAGCCTAAGTAGTTCAAAGGTGAAGCTATATCTACAAAGAAATTTTATGAAATAATCAAAGTCATTGACTTCTGAAATGGAAAAATATGTTAAAAGCAAACCTCTTGGGGGGAAGGAGGGGAAATTGAGGATGTCATCATGCCAAGTTGTCCTAAAATGCACTAATCAGAATTAAAACGTATTCAATGTTCAAGCAAAAGAAAGATTTACAAAATCCTCCCCCCCCCCCGCACTCTGCAAAGGCAGTGAAAGGTACATCTTTTATACTTAGCTCTTCCATATTAGTAAAAATAAATGACATCTGAGATTCCAGAGAATTTAAACCATGAGCAAAGACCAACAGGGAAGACAAGATAGGTTCAATCTATTCATCCATCTTAAACTAGGTCAGAAGTGGGGGCGAAGGGTCACAGTCGTATGATTCGAACTTTGAGCACTTTTCCATCAGCCTGGGCACGCCTGTGGCATTTCTCAGTGGGGAATGGAACTCAGCACCACTTTCTTGCTATGTTTTTAGTTTCTGCATTTAATGGATGAAGACACCTCTCACATTTGGCTCATTCATCTGACATTCTCTGAAGTCCCAAAGCACAGATTGTGTTGTTGGTGTGTATATAATATTTTCCTATCTACCAGCACCACTTTGATGACTGTCTGTTCTCAGCATCCCATTCTCACCTGTCAAATCTGACCTTTTTCATTTTCACTTGCCTCTTTCTCAATGAAAATTTGATTTTATAAACTAGGGATGAATCCATTGCATGATGACCTTCGCTCGAAGGGAAAAAATATTGCTAACATAAAAAATATTTTCCATCTACTTCTCTTCAGTGTTCTTTCCTAAATTACACAGATGTTGTCTATGGCTAGTTTTATTTGACGTTTGCCTTGTCCTTCATGCACTTTTCAGCCTGTAATCAGAGTTGTCATCTGTTATATCTCCCAGGAGTCACACTGCATTTGTGTGACTTTTGTGGCCAACACTCATGAAGGTACCAAATACATGAGCTTGATGAAAACGGTGATTATGACGATGCTTCAAAATTATCTTCTGCAATATGTTTCTGCTGTTCTAATAATTAAAAAATAAAATTTAAACACACAGTTTATCCAAACAGAATCACCTCTAAAATATTTTACATATATCAACTAATGTTATGCACCTGAAACTATTATAATGTCACAGGTCAATATATTTCTATTAAAAATATTTAAACATTCAAATACTCTGAAACTTTAAAACAAACATTATAGTTTTGGGATTTAGTCTAATAAAATTATCAGAAAAAAGAATATATAACTATGTATAAAAATGTTTATTAGCCCTGGTTGGTGTGGCTCAGTGGATTGAGCACCAGACTGTGAAGCAAAAGATTGCTGGTTCAATTCCCAGTGAGGGCACATGCTTGGGTTGTGGGCCACGTCCCCGGGGCGGGAGGGGGGGAGTGCAAGGGACAATCACACACTGATGTTTCTCTCCCTCTCTTTCTCTCTCCCTTGCCCTCTCTATTAAATAAATAGAATCTTTTTTAAAAGTTTATAAAGTTTTGTTATAATAACCAAAAATTTAAATAATCTAAATTTCAAACAGTAGGTAGTAGGTAAATAAGTTTGGTGTGTTTATATAAGGGAATGTAATACAACTGTTAAAATTCTTGCTAATAGTATGTTAGGTTAAAATGGTAGAACACACACAAAACTATGATCAAATAATCCTATTTTTATACATCATAAACTAACAAAGAAAATAATATGAGAGAAATTATTGGTATAGTGGTTTCTTCTAAATGGTAGGATTATAAATTGTATTTTCTTTATACTTTTGTTTTTTTCTCAAAAAAATAATTTATAATAAGAGAAAAAGTGGGTATTTTGAGAAGTGCTCTCTAATCTCCAGATCAGGTCTGGCATTTTCTTTGTGTTACTTAAGAATTAAACTTTAAAACATTGCAAAATGGTTATTTTGCATGGTCATTCACTACTTATTTGTCAGGCAAAGCAAGGCAGCAATTTTGCTACTTGTTAGTGCTTATTTGAAATAAGAAGAAAAACCGAGGCCACCACCTCCCAGGATGAGAGAAAGCAGGAGAGGGGCCCCGTGGCCAGCGCCAAGCTGCCTGCAGCCAGGCTCCAATCCCAGCTGGACCCAGAGCTGTGCACCAGACCAATTTCTGCATCAGTGTGAGTCATCTCAACCAGAGGCGAGGGCCGGAATGGGCTCTCGGTATTTAACGCCCCAATGGTGTGTCGCGGCCAACCCGAAGGGAGTTTCGGACCAGTGCAGTCAGCGGAGACATTGGTACTGCTGCCAAATTCACTGGTGCAGGCTCTGCTGCAGCAGGAGTGGCTGGTTCTGGCGCTAAGATTGAACAATCTTGGCAGCCTCATCACTGGTTATGACAGAAACCCTCGGCTGACGCAGCGGCTGTTCTCATACACCGTCCTGGGGTTTGCCTTGTCTGAAACTATGGGTCGGTCTCCTTTTGTCTGATGGTCACTTTCTTGAAGTTGTTTGCCATGTAACAGACATTGCTGCCTCAGCCTTGGCTGGGTAGGTCCGTTGGTGAGAGCTCATCCCCATACACCAAGTTTGCAGGTTCAATGCCAGGTCAGGGCTCATGTGAAAAATCAACCAATGAGTGCTTAAATAGACAGAACAAGAAATCAATGTTTTCCTCTCTCTAAAATCAATACAATTGTTTAAAAATTACAGCTGAAATGTTGACATTCATACTGACTACTAATGTAATTCTATGTACCTGTGACTCCAAACACTATAGTATTGGTGTCATACAAATATACATTGTTTCCAAAGTCATTTCATTACAGATGAAAAATTTTTTAAAAAAGGAAAAAAATAGAAGCCAGTAAACATGAAACAGATTTTGAATTATCTACTAATTTCATTTCATGCTATTCTTATTTCTCTAGTAGCTCAAAAGTTAGTGAGTTGCTTTTAATTTTTACCCTATGTATATTTCTAGGCCCAAATATAAGATTTATAAAAGTTCTGTGAGAAAAAAAATTGAATACAAAAATTAGTTTATTGCAAAATTAATTATCATACAAGTTGTACTTCTTTTCCTTTAAAATTACTAATTATAATTTCAAGGAGCATAAATGCATTCAAAAGTTAGTGCCAGTCTGTCTATACCTAAGCCATTTCAGCACTTAAGTAATAAATGCAAATCGTCTACGTGGTCCCACCTGAGACTTTGTACAACCGTTGCATTCTGACCACGGGCCAAAGGAACCCCACTGGCAATTGACTGGACTGGCGGCACTGTCCGGTGGTTCATCGTCATGCAGGTGGAGAGGAAAGAGGGGACACAAACGTTAGTCAAGAATAATCAGAAACAGGCAAATACTGTTAAAAATTGCTTCATAATTCTTTTCCTAGGAGAAACCAAAAGTATCCAAAACTATATCTTTTAAAAAATGCAAAAGGGACCCCCCTTTTTTGGAGGTTAATGTTTATTAACCTCTAATAATGTTTATTATAGAGGTTAATGTTTATTATGGATTAGTATCTATAATATACCGGGCACTATTTAGACGCTGGAGTTGTAGACATATTGGAAGAGATAGGTCACGAACCACTGACAGAGGGGAGGACTAAGATACACGTGCACGAACAAGTAATCATGATACAATAACACAGCATAATTCATACTGCAGTATATCTAATTTGAAACATGTCATAACAAATGTGGACACTGTGATGTTTCAAGGAAACATGGACAAGGGAGTGGCCAGAGTTCAGGGGTATAAGGGAGAACATTTAGGAGGAAGGTGGTATGGTCTTCAGAAAGACTCTGGATGATGAATGGAAGAGTTCCTCAGAAACCCTCAACTGGGAGCCCAGGAGTGCTAAGTAAGAAATGGGGCACTGAAAACTGGCCACTGCTGAGTGGACAGGAATTTATTTTTAAAAGCTCCCTGTTCATCTAGGTCACTTCTGAAGCACACATCCATAGAGGGGAAATTCGAGCTTAAATAATTCCACTAAAAAAATGCATGTGGAAAATGGGGATTTGATGCTCATGCAAGACTAAACTCCAGCTGTGTCATGGCTTAGATGGAGAAGTGAGGGCAGCCTCACCTAAAAGAACATTGGCAACAGGTAAAGGAAAGAAGACTCCTGACTTCTAGAGTTCGAGCACATTTCCAGCCTTGGAAACATCTCAAGTTAAGGTGATCTGCACTTATCTCAGGCCCTCAGGCAACTTTAAATGTGAGGAGCCCCATTCTGCCATCCGTGTGCCTCGGTGATTCTGTGGAGCCCACCTGGCTGACCTGTGATCTTGACGTGGCACCAGTGATCCAAATGCCTTGGAACCATGGACACTTAAACAATCTGAACTCGCTATTTTGGGTCCCAGGGACAGCTGCAGCCCTAACACGGAGGCTTAGTGAGGGACACAGGCTTGGCCGGAACTTCTCGTGCACCCCACCTCCCACCCCCACACCCTGTCCCCGCCCCTCTGGGAGGGAGCCTACAGCACGTTTGTACTGAAACCACCTCTTTCCAGCTCTGAGTGGCAATGCAGACTGTCAGCACTGGCTCAGCCCTCCTTGCGTCCCCAGTCACTGGCACAGAGTCTGACACATATTTGGATGGTTTGATCAGGTGCACTGACCCAGTCTGGTCCCACCAAACTGACCGCGAAAGCAAAGCAAGGCCATTAGTCAATGACGCTGCTTTATTCCAGGTCTCAAGAGCCAATAAAACTAGTTTCTTAAAAAATGCTCAACCTTTAAAATCCAAAGGATGTTTTTCAGAGACTAGATGTAAAGATCAAACTCTGCTCTGAGCTGTGTAGCGCAGCTGTGCTTCTCCAAAATGCAGGTAAAACCGTGCAACTGGGACTAGTGGAAAACCTCAAGATGGCTTTCATCTTCAGCTTTCCTCCTTATAGTGAATAAAACAAAGTAAGACTAAGAATAAAACAAACTTTTGCTTGTTGGAAGGATAAACATGCTCAAGCTGCAATGTGAAAATCAGGCCATGCTAAAGAATTTCCTAAAAACAAACAAAAAATTTTTAATGATTTCCACACACAATCCAAAAAATTCTTACCTTGAAAAAACTGGGAACTCTCCTACAAATCCCACCAACATGAATAAACTTATTGCCTGGGGGAAATAAAAGCATTATTTTAGTTTGCATTGCTTTAATGAGTTGAAAGCAAATTCCTTTGTGCAAGTCAAGATCTGTGGTTTAGGAACAGGAAGAGTGAGGGAACCACAGAGAAGGCTTGATGACTCGACTTGTCTTTTCAGTTCCCACTTTAAATAAGCATTTAATATAATTCTGTTCAGCTCACCCCTGCAATTTATTGCTGTAAGAACAGCTAGGAGCTGGGTGATGTCATGGACAAATTAAAAACTCTCACTAGAGTGAAACTATCGCGAGCATTTCATTATGGTCCCATGACCTTTGAATTCCTTTCTCCACTGTTCATCTCTCTAATGTCAACACCCATGAGCACAGCCAAAGAGGAAAATTCTGGAAGAAAGTGCAGTGCCCAGGGATGAGGAGTTAAAGGGGAAATAAACTTCATCAATGAGGAAGCAAAACCGGAGACACAGCCCGGTCCAGAGGGGCGGACGATGGGCATCATCCTCCTTATCAGCCTTTGAAAAGCCTCTGAGGCCTTCAGTCGTCACCTTTACCTGAGAACACCAGCTAAACATTGTACGTCAAACCTCACGACCGGCACATTCTGTTTGAAAAATCAAATGTGTATTGAGGAAAAATAATCTAAAAGGAAATATAACACAGAATAATAGTTTATTTCTGGTTGTGAAATTATAGGTGATTTCTATCACTTTACTGTCACTTTTAAGTATCTTCCTACTTCATCTGACAGCTGAAGGTGTAGGGAATACAATTCAAATCTTTACTGGAGATGCTCTAAGCATATCGAATGCATTCAGTTCATAACCCAGTATAACCGTCTTTAAGATCATCTTATCCCCTCATGTTAACAGGCCGATACTCTTTCTCTTCTGCCCCCAAACTCTGTTCTGTCACTGCTGCTGGGAAGTGGCTTCCTAACGTTTTTCTCAGGGCCTTCTATTCACCCCCCCGAGACCACCTGTCCTTATATTAGGTGTCTTCCTTCAGTTACAAAGTCCCTCTCACCTACCTCTGTCTCTCATACTTCTACAACTCCTTTTGCCTCTCATTCTGATTGGCACAACCGAGGAGCTGTGAGCAACACGGAGATGAGTAAATTGGCAGGGGTGGGGGTGGGGGGGAGGCTGGGACACATCCCGAGTTTTCAGCAAACATGGGAAGCACAGAATATAAAGCAACACCTTTTAAAGTGTTTTTTCCTAATTATAAACTACATTTTTTTCTTTTTTTGTCATGTCTCCATGCTCTCAATTTTCCTGCCCCTGGGAAAGCCTATCTCATAGTTTTATGAGTCCCTTCCAGGGATTAACAAATTTTCGGAAAATAAAAATTCTGGAACAATGAATAGTGAAATTTCAATGTGTCGTCTGATTTTAAATTTCTCTCCTACTCCTAGTTCCTAGATGCTTATAACACGGGAGGAGTGTTCTTCCACTTGTCTTCCCTGCCCCGCCCTGCTCCCACAAGCTTCCTCTATCTTTTTCAAAGTCAGAGCCGCAGCAGTGTAAGAGGAAAGAGCCCAAAAGTACATCTTTTAATTATTAGATTTATTGGGGTGACATTGCTTGACTCATTCAGCGGGAGGCTGGTAATAGTAAGTCAGGGGGTGTTGGATGTTCAAATGCCAGTTCTCCACCTCACAGTGTTTTTGTGCTTCTCTGGCTGCTGCCCCTCCCTGCCACCAGAGTTGGGGATCTATGACCACTGTTCTCAGGTACAAATGACTCATCTTCTGGGCTGTCACTCCTGACCCTCACCAGTGCTGCTCCTCTGGGGCCGTTCCAGTACGGATGCTACCTGTGGGCATCACTTTACCTGGCAGACAGCCTCCCGGGCAGAGCCCCTGACAACACAAATGTCCACACCTGGCCCATGGGATGCTGCAACACACCCTTGTTCTCCCCGATGCTCAATGGCCACAGTGCAACTGATACTGTCATGGCGACTTATTCTGCTAAAGGCAGGTCGGTCAACCAGCCTGTGCCATTAGACTTTCTCAAACGTGAGGAGGTGTCATTCTCTATATCCTTCATACTCAAAGGGACACGATCTTACATAATCTTGAGGATGGAGACGGCCAAAGGGCACTAGACAGATTCAGGGCTACTCTTCCTGTGAGACTGCATTGAATGTCCAATATTTCACTTCAACATGTGGGGTTACTGAGCACTTATTGTTCTTGGCCTTTGACTTCCAGCCAAATCAGGAATCATGAAAAAAGTCAATTGTTCAGATTCTTTTACCTATGTCTTTAAAGGATTTCAACTATATTTTGGGGAATATCTTTTTTTTCATCAAAAATGCCTTTGACACCACCTTCCCCGTATACATGCTACTTATTATAACCCATGAACACCTGCTTATTACAAAGTCAGTTTCTGTTCATGAGTTATGCAAGCTGAATCTAACAACCAAAAGAATTTCTTAAGAATTTGCTAGCTGTGGACCTGAAAATGAAGCAATGATCATTTCTTACCTTTGGAAAGATGCCTTACCAAAGGGACACATGAGAAGACACATTAATGACAAAGATAAACATACAGCTGTGTTGACTCTATAAAAAAAATTGCCTAGTCGAAAAGATGTGGTGTCTTTATTCTGTGATATGGTGAAGTTGGAACTACATTTCCCAGAATTCTCTTCCTTTTTTTTTTTTTTTTTTTTAGTCACTGCCTGAGCATTAGTGCTACCTCCTTCTTTTAACCTGCTCCAGCGACAACCATCATCTCCATCCTTCTAATTTCTTCAAGTCTGGTCATTTGTGTTTATCTTTTGAACCATGAGCACATTTGGGGTAAAAAATGAAATAATTTCTGTAGCATACACTAGGTTTCGATAGCCATATTTTTAAGTAGGAAAAAATCAAACTTAATTCATTAGCATTTCCTAATATTTAATATCTTGGTCAGTACATTTTGAACATAGGCACCATTTAAATGAAGGAGTTAGATTTTAACATAGATTTATTTATATCCTTATTAGAAATAAACATCAATTTGCAACTCTTCTAACAATAAATGCACAAGGGTCCAATAATATGATTGAATACGTCACAGTCATTGGAAGGACATTATAGATTCTAATGACAGGAGAACGTGCTCATGACATAATGAGTAAAAAGATCCAGATTTGGTTTGATAGCAATTTAATAAAGTGTGTTTTATACATATTCATATAAAAGTCTGAAGAGAAATGGATTAAAATGTTAATAGTGGTTACCACTGGGTGGAGAAATAACATCTGTTATCTTCTCTTTTAACTTATTTTTCCCAATAAGGTAGTATTGTAATCTGGAAAAAGACGTGTTTTTAAAGGCACACATACCAACACCGTCTGATGAGCGGTGACAGCTGAGAAAGTCAGATCAGCCCTGGGTGTTGAGAGAGAGCAGAGAGGCCCTGACCTGAGACATCATGGTACCGGGCCACAGGGCAGCCCCATGAGAATCAGGCCTGAGGTTCACAAACCCTGGGTTCATCTACATCAGGGGAGGCGATCCTAAAAGGCTGGGCCACAGCCAGGTCGAAGGGAAGAACTTTTTTCTCTGAAGTCCTGAAACACTTCAGACTCAAGTTATCTCTGAACCAGCAGACACAGAAGGAACCAGGGGATTCCGGACTACCTTTCTGAATTTCGTTCCTATGACTGGGAGAATAGGACAAAAGCACACTTCCCTTTAAAGGCTGGACCCAGGAATCATTTTTGGTGGTGGCTTCATATCCCAGGTTTCCCTTCTCTGCAATGTATCACCAAAGTATTGCCTTCAGGTTTCATGTACAAAATATAAACAAATACTTTCAAATACAAACTTTTGTATACCACTTGCAGGGAAACAATTACTTTATTATCATTGCAGAATAATTCCATAATAATCAATAACTGGATAAATTTTAAAAAAACAAATCAATTATTAAGATGTCTCATTATAAAATAAATAAAGACATTGGCTTATGGCTGATACAAATATTAGGAGAAGATATATTAGCAGATGACCCTAAGAAAAGCATGCTATTCTTTCTGAGCTAACAAATATCCTGAAATTTTAAATAAAAATACAAGACACATCAATAAAAATTAGATTATAGCATAATTCTAACTTTGCAGGGTTACTTGGTATTCTAGCATCATAACATTCGGCAAATCAACTTTGCGATCATGTTTCATTTTTAACCAGTTAATTCCAGGTCTGAGTTGTCCCAGACACAGCATCATCCAGTCCTCCTCCAGCCCCGTCGGGAACTGAACATAGGTTCACTATCACAAATAGACAGCGTAGCAACCACAAAGGCAACCTAGGAGCTTGACGGGACTGAGACATTATTGTGTCGGCACTGCACTGCAAAACTTTTAAAGTTTAAATACCAAAGTTTTCAATAATAAGATTATAATAGCAATTTCAAGTTAATTTTGCATCCCAGAAACATAGTCTGAGAGTGATTTCTGTCTTTGGTCCTCTCACTGGTTGAGTAGTAAATTTTTTTTATCATGTGACCATTTTGCATTGGGCCAACACATGTATCTGCTAAACCTTTAGTTTCATTCCAGCTACGTGTCCCTTCCCCAGTCCCAGTCCTGACCCCCTGAAATTCCAGGTCTCTGAAGTCTCTTTTGTTAATGAAGCTCTCACATAAGTCAGATCACAGGGGCTCGCTCGCTGCCTGGCTCCAAATCAAACAAAAATACACAGGAGGGAACTTTCCCCTAAGAGATAATAGTAGCACCATTGTATTTCTTAATGGCTTCTCAGGTCTTTCATAAACATTGTCCCCAATTTCTGACTCCCAGACCTCTGAACCAATCATTTAATCCCAGGTCAAGAAAAAGGAATTTGCTTTGGCCGAACTGTAAAAAGTATTCAAGGATTTTAAAAATCACCTCTATCTTCCCCATTTCCCACGTTCTCTCCTTATTTGTGTTATTCCCATTAAGCCTTACTCTTACTTGCAATAGCTCTGTTTACAAAAGTAGTGAAATAATGATCTCACCTCCATGATTGGGGAAACTTTCAGGACAGGAGAGAGGATGAACACTTCTCCTGCGAGTGCCTGGGGCGTTCTCTGCGGCTGAGGAGCCCCGCGGAACGCGCCCTCCCTGGTGCTGGTGCTCCCTCTCCACTGGGCTGGGGCTGCGCCTGGGACTCTTATATAGAACCAGTGCTCTGGGACTCAGCTCCCACCCCAACCAGATTCTCTGGCAGAGAGGAGCCTGCCCCTGTGGTTAGTCTGGGTCTTGAAGCCAGATGCCTCTTATCAATCTGCAGAGGCCTCAGCGCCAGCCAGCTGGGGCTGTTGGGATGTGTAGTTTGAGGAAACATCTGTAAATCAAGAAAGTCAGAAAATGTTTCAGTTCAGCGTTCCAGTGATTCTCACGCACCAAAGGAGGCTGTGTGTGAGACAAGGAATAAGCCGTCATCCTGTTTTAATCTATTAAACTAAGCAAATATTTACATGGTTTTTTTTTAAAGGATGTTAAACGCCAGACTTAGAGATTAAACACTTTGAGGGAGAAATGATCTACCTAAATGCAGTTCTGTCACTCCAAAGGAACATTCTGGAGTGGAAGCCTCCACCCTCAAAACAAAATTTATATGGTCTAAAACGATATGATACCCATACCCATCCTTCATGCTTGACTTTCACGGAATGATCAAAAGAACATTGGTTTTTTTTGCAAATATGTTAAAAGGCACCACTAGTTTTTCCAAGAACTTCCCATAATCCTTTGCTGGCCAGACCACTCCATTGGGAAATTCTTCTCATGGTCACCATCGACCTCCGTTTTCTCCTCCTCGGCTGTCGCCTTGCCTTACTCCGCCAGATCCTCATTTCTCGTGGCTTTGCATTATTCTAGCAGCTCTCCAACATCACTTTCATCACAGACTTCACAAAACACTGCATGTTTGGTGAGATCTTCCGGGTTTTCTATGAAGCTGAACTACAGTTTTCTGTGCGTAGTTTGGCTCAACAATCTGACACTCACTGTGGAGTGTTAGGATCAGGAAAGACATGAGTGCTATGTGGGAGAAGACATCCAACATGTAACTGGGATTGGAGGTATCTTCGGGGAGAAATGTCGTGGAAAGGGACAGAAGTAAAGCCACAGGCATGAGGAAACAGCTGAAGTGTCGCGAGACTGATCAGATGAAGCACAAAACCACAAGAAGCGCTCCTATTCCGGGAGCGAGAAGACGGAGAAAAGCCAGGAAGGAGAGAGGGAGAGGCACAGACGAGAAGGAAGATGAGCACAGTGCGCATCGAGCCCACTGGAGACAATCTCAGGAGAAGCGTGTGGGCACCATACAGAGGTCAGAGAAGGGAGTGCTGATGAAGGGCACACCGCCCGCACTCACAGTGTTGTGCCTGAACCGAGGGCAGAGCTGCCTGATGTGTCTTCTCCTCTGTGCTGCAAGGCACTTGCAAATCATTAATTTTGAATTTAACGAAGTATAAGAGGTTGTGTGTATTACGGAGCAGAGTTTCTCAGCAGCTGAACTACGCGCCATTGGGCCTCATCATTCCTTGTTAGTGGAGGGGGAGAGGGAGCTGCGAGGTGCGCAGGGGACACTCAGCAGCTTCCCACCAGATGACAGTAACACCCTCTGCAGTTGCAACAATCACAAATGTGTCCAGACACTGCAGGAAGTCCCCTGGGGGCAAGATCACACCGCCCTCCATTGAGGAGCACTGGACTATGTCTCCTCCGGGCAAGTGCCCAGCCTTAGAGTCACAAGCACAGTGCACAGTGAATTACGAAGTAAATGTTCGGAAAGTTCTGCAAATTAAACGCATGGCAAATTAAATGTCCTGAAAGTTTGACACCACGTAATACTTCTTTTTAACTTTTCTCAAATCAGAGTTTCCCAGATTCATGTGACCACAGAACTTGCATTTCTAACAACCCCCCGGAACTGGTATTGTGTCATGCTCTGGCCAGTGGTGTCTCTGCCAAAACCAAATGGGTAGAGGGGAAGGCAGGTTTCTGCTGGACTGGGGGAGGGGCCTCAAGAGCCCAGAGCTTTCTCAAACTTCTGCTACAACCCCTTTTTCCCAGTTAGCCTTCACTTCGCTTGGTAGCACCCCAAAATCCGTTAACAGCCCCAGACTCTAGTAAAACTATTAGACCACTGATGATATCAAGAAGCTGTTCCAGTCCACCTAGGAGAGATACTTGAAAACATTTATTTTAACAAGCCCATTCCATTTACTAGCCATTTGGTTTTGTTGTAAAGTTTTCCAACAGATTCTGCTGACTCTGGAGGCACAAGAGAAATGAACTCACTGGGGAATCTTCTCTCTCTCTTCTGTTGAGACTGATAAGGTCAGAATTGAAACTGCCAGGGGTTGGAGCAAAGAAGCAACAGCACCCCTTAGTGACAGATGTGCTCAGTCCCTCTAGCAAAAGAAGAACATTATGCTCTGGAGTTTAAACCACTTGGAAGCAGAAAGAAACATCGAATCTTCTGAGGCTCCCAGTCAAGTGCTTGTTAAGTCGATAAATACTCCAGGTGGTGTCTCCTTTTCCATTGAAATGTAACTGTGTGAATAGTGAAAAACGACTTTTAGGCAATGCCTTCTCCAAATCAGTATTTCAGGAAAATAATGATTGTTAAATGTTTTATCATTATACCTAATAAGACTCTGCCCATCTCTGCCAGTAACACTGCATTAAATACTGTAATTGGTGCATTAGTTTAAAGCGAGGTCACTATCAGTAGCCTCTATTGGCATCCAGTTCTTCATACAGAAGTTGTTTAAGGTTTAAATGGAGTAAAAGATATTTATAGGGCTTCACACTCCTCTTTAAGACAGAAGTCATAGCCCCTGGTAACAATACACATGACTTCCCTTCCTCCTTCCACCCCCAAAACAAGGATCCAATTACCATCAGGAGGCAGTAAGACCAGACTGGTCTGCTTTAAGATTTTCAACAGTGGCGGGTGGGCACTTGCTACTGTAGGAGAAGGCCCCGTTTGTTTGGGTCTCTAACTGCCATCTGGGATTTTCCATGATCTGAGATGCACGTTGTAGCAGCAGCCTTCGCGAGTCCAAGATGCATTTCATCTGGCTCACGTTTAAATGAAGTCAAACAGCTCTGAGAAGGAAGACATGAAATGCAAAGATTTCCCTCCTTCCTTACAGAGGAAGGGTGTGTAGCAACAGACAAGGCCATCTATTTATTCTACACTTGAAACTTGCGCTGCCTGCAAAGACAGTTGGAATTGTCTGGGGCTTTTTTGTTTTTCTTTTCCTGATCAAGAGTTCAGTATATTATAGCCCTGAAATGAAAATTAATCAGTCTCAGATAATATCAATCTGCTCCATAATTTTAGGCATTTCCTCCTTAAACTCCCTCTAACAGATGCAGTTTGATATCAGATTCACCTTTACATTCTCCACAGGCCACAAAAGAGTGAAGAGTGAGCAGTAGAAAGAAGTAAAATCCTGAATCGTACAAACCCTTCAAATGTTTGTGAAAAAAATCTTGGAAATAAGTGATGTTCAGTCACAAACACATGACTAGAAGCTTCTTAAAAGAAGGAACTTTTCTCAAATCAATAAAGGGTACTGATTTATGTTTCAGTAGTAGAATAATGTGCTCTAAAGGCAGAAAGTCCGGGTTCATGTCTTAGGCAAGCTGCTTAGTTACTCTGATGCTCTTGTTTCCTTCCTTAAAAGGCAGAACTAATGTTGTTGAACTCACAGGGCTGTTACAGTAGGTGAGTCCAAGGAAGCGCTGTGCCTGGAATATGGGAAGCTTAGTTCAATAAATGTGAACTATTGTGCAAAAGTTCAGAAACAACCCAAATGTGCCTCAATCATGGATGGGTTAAGTAAATGATAGTATACAATTAAATGGAATACTATACACTTATAAAAAATGAGAAGTTCTCTGTGCATTGATATGAAAAGATTTACAAAATATATTGTTAAGGAGAAAAAAGAAAGGCACAGAACAGTACGTTGCTTCAGGGGTAAAAGGAGGAAGGATAGAGAGAATATAAATTCATGTAAGTTCACATTTTCACAAAGAAAGTCTGGAAGGACACGGAGGGAAGTAACAAACACGTGGCCTGACTGGGCACGCATGCCAGAAGGGGGCTGGGGGAAAAGATGGACACGGGATGGATGGGAAAAGAGATGGGCGAGGACTTTTTACCTTATAATGGTTTATATTTTTAATGCTTTAATGACCCTATTACCTATTCGAAGATAAAATGTTGAACTATTTCATTTTATTTTGTTAGCTGCTGTAATTGTGCCATTCGGGGTGTGCTAGAATAAGCATCCTAAAGGTCCTCCCTCTTCGTTCGCTTCTCTGTTCATCCGTTTATGGATGGAACCGGGCTACACTGCGTGTGAGTGAAGCGCACTGATCACATGAGTTTAAATATACATGAAGATGTGTGAAGTTACCCATACTCAACACAGAGGTTAGTTTCACTACCTTCTTGCTCCTTCTTAAGCTTCTGTTAATGCGTGGACCTGTTTTCTGGGAGACCGTATTTTTAGGACTATAAGACGCACCAGACCATAAGATGCACCCAGGTTTTAGAAGAGGAAAATAAGGGGGGGAAATTGAAGCAAAAAATGTGGTAAAATATTTCATAACCTGTGACCCTGCTCCACCGCCGCACCCCCCCCACCACCCACAGCAAGCCAGGTAAGCTACATTCAGACTATAAGATGCACCCCCCTTCCTCCCAAATTTGAGGCGTGCGTCTTATAGTCTGAAAAATACGGTATGGCTTACCAGAAAAAAATCACCAGATAAATCTTGTCTGGAAGCTGGGCTTTACCACTTTCTATCTGTGTTATTCTTTTGAGCCTCAGCTTTCTTACTTAAAATAAAAATAGTGACGCAGGGGACCTGACCTGGGGTGGTGAACACACAGTGCAGTATACAGATGATGTGGTGTGGAATTGTACACCTGAAACCTGCATAGTGTTATTTATCATGTCACCCCAAAAGTTCAATGAAAATTAAAATTAAGAAAATAAATAATGAAAAAGTTTGAATTAAGAAAAAATAAAGAGCCCATTTACTTTTCACGACTCGAGAGTGCCATCTAGTGATCACACAGGCACTTGATGGACACAGATGTTCCATTGAATTAGAGAGATTGTATTTTTATTTTTTTAAAAATAAAAATAATAAAACATTTTCTATAGGGTTGATGAAATTCAATGTATATAAAATTCACACTGCAG